ATAATAATAATAATAATAATAATAATAATAATAATAATGTCGTCAGGCCCCCGTCTACAGTAGTACTACTTTAGAGATTATAAGGTAGGTCCTAGATTATTAATAAGGTTTGTTATATACAGTAGTAGGACGGAGAATTGTTTCTACAAAAGAGTTATACAATTAATAACCTTAAAACCCCTACCTACTTTCTTTCTTAGAGAAGAGTATTAGGTTTATCGTATATTATAGAGAGCTACCGAACGAAGAAGAAGGCATTGCGAGTAGAGCGAAAATAATCTTTATAATCTATAACCTCGATTTTTTTTTTTTTTTCTTCTTCTTCGCAGATTCTTTTAGGTAGATGGATAATAAGGTGGGTTATGATCGAGTTTTATGCAAAAAAAAAAAAAAAAATAGCCCGTGCAATAGATAACCCAGAACCCTCACAATCTCTGCGAAGTAGACGGGGCCTGATGATGATGATGATGATGATGATGACGTATCATACTCGAAAAAGAAGGAAAGAAAGAAAAAAACAAAACACTGCGTATATTCAGAAGATTTCCCCATCATCATTATCTAGCAATAACTCGCTGAAACATCGCCGGCCCTTGGGTATCGTGCGTGACTACTGACTGACTGCTATAAGCAAGATTCTACCTGTACAGGAGGAAAACACGAAAGAGAAATTCGCCATCCCACCACTAACTAACCCCGAAACGCCTCGCTCAGTAACGTGTCAAAAGATAAAACGACAGAATCCTCAAAAAAAAAAGAAAAGAAGAAAAATCCTTAAAAACTGTCCATCTGCTCCTGCTGTTTCAGATACTCCCTCGCCAGGAAATCGCCGCCCTTGCTACTGAGGCTCATCCAGTGCAGCACGACGCAGAGGTTGTAATAGTCGAAGCGGTTCGGGTCCTGGTTCTTGCGCCACTTGCTCTCCAGCTCGTCCTTGAAGATCTCCCTGGTGCGAGCGAAGGGTGCGACGACGCGGTCCATGAGCTCCGGGTTCGTCAGGTAGAGCGTCGCCAACTCTCGCTGCGCCACCGGATCGCCTTCCTTGGCCGTGATTTGCAGAAGGTAGGCGGCATCCGCCATGCTGTAGCGCGAGTAGTCCTCGGCAGAGGGCGTCCGACTGGGCGCGGTGAAAGTCGCAGAGTCGCGTTCCTGCTGCGCCATGGAAGATGATCGGCCATGGCCGCGATTGTTCGAGTGGTACGCGATGATACTGTCCGCAGTCTCGACCATGATGCCCCGAGCCTCGTGTTTCAAGCTCGATATGGCCACCGCCGCGTTGCAGAATGCCTTGCCCTCGGGCGTATTTTGCAGGACCGCGGCGGGCAAAAGAGCCGCGATATATTGCAAGTCGCGGAATACGGTCTTGGGACGGAGAGAACTCTTGGAGAAGATGTGTCGAAACCCGTTCACGCTGGTCTCGGATGCGTCTTGAGTTCTCGATCGCATTAGCTGGCCGTGTCCTGAGCTCGGTCGCGCATACGAGCTCATGAGAGAATGGTTCTTGCCTTGCTCTGCCATATATGGCACGAGCAGCCGGTCCATGTCATGTAGACACGACAGCTTTGTCGACGGATTGCTCATCAGCGAGAACTTGCGCAGTAGAGTGGCGAAGGCACTCTCGAAGCCGAAAGTTGCCAGAGGAGGGTGAACGGGCAGGCTGGATTCTGCGGTGGGCGTTTGAGAGTCAATGCTGGCCCGGAATGCATCAAGGCTGCGAAAGTGGCGATCCGTCAGCTGCCAACCCAGGCCACTCCAGTATGCGCGGTCAGTCTCACTTCCGTCACTGAAGAGTATGGATGTTAGATCGCTCAGGACAAGACTGGTCGTCCGCTGGCGGAGTCTTTCGATAGCGCCGCTCGCTACGAAGCTGGTGTCAGCATGCTGCTTGGGCGTCGAGCGCTCAAAGGCAGAAGGCATCATGGACGAATTGACACTCGTGGCGCTCGAAGGTGAGTCCACTTCCGTTGTCGCAGGCGACCAGAACGGCATCGAAGAACATTTGTTCAGCGTAGGACTTGTGGAGTCTAGATAGTCGCGAGAGCTGATGCTTGATAGGGTCTGTGATGTGCTTGACAAAGCATCATTGCTTCGAGGGTGGCCATGCAGCGACAGAAAGTGGGACTGTGCTGCGCCGCCATGGAGTGTGGAGAGCAGCGTGGGGGGCTTCGTTGGTGAATCGGCAGATTTCAAGGCGACGTCCCGCGCAAACAGCGTGTTCGACCAGATGGCCGTGTTCTCAGCAGGGGGAGTGGCAGTGACTGTCTCCACGCACTTTCGAACTTCCATACACAGCTTATGCAGACGTTCCTCGCCCCTGCAGAGGTTGTCGATGTCCTGACGGTCCATCCAGAGTTCCGTCGCGCGGGACTGGTCATCACTCAGTTTGTTAGGTCCTCCATGATCAGGCCTTGCGCTCAGAATCTCCAAGATCTGAGCCTCGGTCTTGAGATGTAAATTGGTATTCGTCATCTTCAAGGTGCTCCAGTTCCGCAACGGAGGGGCCATGCGGGTGCGCGATGGTCGCTTCGCCTTGCCCATCACACATAGCGCACTGGAGATTGAGCGAGCTTCGTCGTATGCCGCAGACGTTCGCACATCGGCGACGTACCACATCTTGTCGCGAAGACGTTCGTGCTCTTCCACGAGCGGGTTCAACTGGAGAGACTGCAACTGGAGGCGAGTGCTCATCATGCGAGTCCACCTATCGTATGCTCCTTGGAGGACAAGAGCGCGGTTCTTTGAGCGTTGGGCAGCAGCCTCAATATCGAGGAGCATGTTTCGCAAAGCGGCCCGATTGGTAGATTGTTGAACCTGAGAACGGAAATCCTGGAGGTGCAGAAACCAATCGTGAGCTCTCACAAATTCGGATCGGGCTTCACAATCCTGGATTGCCAGTTCGAACAAGCTTTCGACTTGTTCTTGTACCTGGCCTAGATCTTCTGTCTCTTTCGCAAATTCTCCAGAGTCCTCTGGAGAGTCGCCAACGCCGAGATCGTACAGAAGAGACTCTAACGCCTTCATGAGAGAGGACTTCTCTCGACGAGAGGTGCGGATGGTCATTGCTGCAGAAGCGCCGTTATGACTTCGTCTGGGCGCTTCTGGATAGCAGGCGTCTGCATACTTCTCATTTGCCGTGCAAAGAGTATCCGACTCGGCTGGGGCATAGAACACGCCCCACAAGTCCTTGGAGTTTGTAGTCTGGCTGGAAACGAAATCATCAAGTTCAAGACAAGCTTCGCGCACGAAGCCATCCTGAACCTGTTGGTCCTGCGCTTCTACCTCGGATTCTGGTTGAGGTGTGCCTGCTAGATGAAGACCTTGAAAGTCGAGAGGGCTGAGTGTGGAGATGCTAGCTGTAGGATCGGGTACGTGGGCATTCTGAAACAAAGAGAATCCGGAGATTGAAGATGCGGAGGATTGCAAGCCCGACTTGAGATTGTCGCCGTCCGAGGACACTGAAGCAGGCCTTCGCTGTGGGTAGAGAGCGTTGAGGCAGGTGGAGACATCCTTGGCGGACAAAGCAAGGAACGTCTCTTGACGATTGAGCTGTTCACGGCTTTGGGGTGGACTTGAAGTAATCGACGACAAGCTGCTGAACCTCGACATCAGGGTATGCACCCTATGTGTGGTATCTGACGGGATATTACTGGCGTATTTCCTTGTGACGTGTCAGGATACTTTCTCCCAACTTGTGTCTGGGATACGTACCAAGCGTATGCTACGTCGAAGACACATCGTTGTGCTCGGGTGACGACTTCGCGGAGTATCCGTTGACGAGAAACGTCGGAGACGTAGTGATCCGTCAACATGCCATATGCCTTTGCAAACCGTCAGTCGCGTTCTGTTGCGGTCGCGCTTTGGTACTTACTTCAGGGAGCGTCACGGTATCCATCACGAATGCCGAGAAAAGCCAGCGAGTGATCAAGAATTGTGGCAGAGCGCGCTGATGACCAGGCGACTCACGCAAATGGACCCAGATCGCACGACACATTCTCAGAGCACCCGGGGGGATGACACTCGGGCCACTATCGACGCCGAATAGCTCCAAAAGGGAGTCCGCAGCTTGGTTGTAGAATCTCTCCGTACGCACTTCTTCTTCAGGCGATACATCGGACCGGCCTTCCACACGAGCTCGGAATGTCTGTTTGCTGGGCTGTTCCAGGAGGAATGATCCTTGTTGCAGGGTCTGCAAGATCCAAACTTGGAGGCGATCCTTTCCGGGCCATGGAGCCAGAGTGGTCCATATGTCCAGCACTGCAGGGACCAGTCGCTCGCTTCCTGGCTTCTGTTCGGAGATCAGACTGGCAGAAACAGTGGCCCAGATGTTTGTTGCCCGGTCAAGCTCGTAGGCTCCTGCTTTGGACAAGCCATTGGTCGAGAAGACCAGAGCCTCCAAGGTGCTGCTGTAGGCATGCGACGAGAGGAGATCCGATTGCGCATCGACCACAAACCCCAGCGGCTTCGACGTCCGAGAGGTGGACCTGCTGAAGCCTCCAAAGATGGAATCATTCGACCTCGGCAAGGAACGATCCGGCAGCAAAGCGATCAATTCCTTGTGCGTCAAACACTTGAGACGATTAGCGACAAAAGCCCCATCATATCGAATGTGGGCAAGAAAGTCAAGGATAGATGCTCTGGAGGAGGAAGGGAGATTTTCCAAGAATGAGGTGGTGGGTCTGGGCTCTGCAATGTTTCCGGCTTCCGACTCGGCGGATGGTCTCAAGCAGTCATCGCACGCATCGCGAAAGGCATGGAGAAGGTTTGCAAAGCTGGCCTTGTCTTCTGTCTTGATACACTCGGCCAGAGTGTGCTGCACGGAGCGGGCTGCCCGGGCAAGGCGAGAAGTTCGTGCGGTGGCGATCTGGAGGTAATGCAAATTCTCTTCGGCCTGATAGCACCGGCGTTTCTGGTACCTCTGCAGGCGCAGCTGGCGAGTGATGTCGGCCAAGGGCTTCACTGGTCTGGGCTCCTCATCTGGCACTGCGGTCCGGGTCGGAGATGGGTCAGAGGAATGAGGCTGCGGCATGGACGGCGGCGGAATATCCTTCCCAGCGGCGGACGGCTCCGTCGGGTCCCCGGGGCCATGGTGGGTGGTGGATGCGGGTTCAAAGAAGAAGACGGGTTTGATGGCCATGTCCGGGAGAGGAGAGGGGGAGGGGAGAGGGTGGCTTGGCGGGACTATGGGTGGTGTGGTTGTGGCATAGAGATCGCGAGGCGTGCCATCAAGAGAGGAGATTCCGGGCGTGGAGGAGGTCGAGGCATGATGAGAAGTGGGAGGTGACACGGCTGCAGAAGGTAACATGAGTTAGCGGCTCTGGTTGACAGATGGTACATGAGAGTGATGAGCTGGCAATGCTAGCATATGCTGGTCGAAGCGGGGAGCGACAGTGATTGGGCGAGGAGAAAAGTGAAAGGAAGCGCAGCGCAGGGCAGTCTTCTCACCATCAGCAGCAGCAGCAGCAGCAGCAGCAGCAGCAGCAGCAGCAGCAGCAGTAGCAGCAGCAGTGGCCGCCGCGACGGAGGTTCCGCTGGTGGTGGTGGTGCTGCTGCTGGTCGCCGGTCCGCATTCGGGTGGCGATCCAGTATCCAGCATCGCTCGAGCTGGTGGCCGCCAGCAGCGCGCGCGCGCGCGTCACCACCGGCACAGGCACAGGGAGTGTGAGGCGGTAGAGTGCGGTGCGGTGCGGGGCGGGGCGGTGCTCGCTCGTCGTGGTCTCACTTCCTCGTCTCGTCTCGTCGCAAGATGCAGCACGACCGACAGCGATGATGAGATGGGGGTCCGGGCAGGGCAGGGCAGGGCAGGGCAGGCCAGGCCAGGCAAGACGATGCAGGCAGCCGCGGGACTTCCGAAACGCCGTCACGAGATGCAGCGCTGTCCGCTGTCCGCTGTCCGCTGTCCGTAGCGTACCTAGCTGGGGGGGGGCGGGGGCGGGGGCGCTGTGGCTTGGCCCGTGAGTCTCGCGGACGGGTATGTCTGTGACTGGGCTAGGCACAAGGTATGGACGTTTGGCGTGCGGGAGGAGTATGCGAACGGCCAAATGCGTTGGAAAAGCAAGCAAGCAAGAGTAATCACGTCCGCCAGTGGCAGAACAACCACCGACAGGCACTCCCGTAGATTGTGGCCCGGCCTGCGGAGCCTACAGTACATCCCTGCACCTGGCAAGCTCTTTCCGCCCCACGCACGTCATGTCGCGTCGCGCAGCGAGAACACGTCGACGCTCCCGTCCGCTCGACCACAGGACACTGCAGGGTGCCACAGAGGGTGGTGAGCGGGGCGGCGCCGACGTCTGATTTGCTGGCAAGCGCCCTCGTCAATGCGTGATTCGCTGTCTCCGCCTGAGACATGCGTCTTGGCCGCAGCAGCGCGGCCACCTCATGGATCGTTGTCTTTCCCCCCCGACCACAACACAACGACGACGACGCCGTGTTGCGACGGGAGAATGCAAGCGGTCGTGAGACGTCTTCGCTGCATGCATGCATGGGTCTCCGGATCCGGACTTGGTTCCGCTGGGATACGGCGGTGGCCTGAGCTTACAAATCCGCAAAATGGTTTTGCCGGTTTTGCTACCGCACCACCACACTCTCACACACCGTAATCGCAGTGGTTAGGCACTGATGTACTCGCTATCGACTCGCAATCCATCTATCAGGTCCTTTATTATCTACTTTGTCGTCATGCCGCCTTAGGCCCTCGATTTATAGCCCTATCGGCTCTAGATTAAGCTTTAGATTCATGCTAGATATACCTACTAGCGAGTCGTATAGAGCCTACATAATACTAAGGGCATTCGCTACGGTATCAGAACTCTATAGACACACTTAATAAGAATGCCTTCTTATAAAATAGCCTACTTATTGTTAGTAGCTGCCTTATTATTCGATATTATAGACTCGCACTTATAATAGTATAAGCGCGACAATAGCTTTTAATTAATATAAAGCCGCGTACCGCCATTGACGGGTTCAATATAAAGCCAAAAGCTGCGCCTGACTTCATATTGACCGTTCACGTCGACAATAGCGGTGCGCGACACTCGTAGAGCCTCATTGTCGCCGTCGTAAGTTGTTATTGTGGTAGTAGAGTGAGTCGCGACTCACAGCGAGTGCCGCTTCGGCAGTCGGCAAAACCATTTTGCGGATTTGTAAGCTCAGGCCACCGCCATACTGTACCTACTAACTACGGCGGGGAAGGGACGGACTTTCGTGTTGGTCGCACAGACGTCACGTGCAGCAGGCAACGTCTGGACCGTTGTCATCAAGGCACAGCAGCCAGCTTCCTGCAAGGTTTCGCGGGAGATCTGCTGGTGGCATGGCATGGGCAGCAACAACGAAGCCCGCCCCGGCCATCTCTAGTGACTAGTCTTCCATCCCGAGATGCACCGGGAGATGATGAACTCGCGCAGCATTAATCATTGGCGTGGTCGCATACAGTACGAGATATGAATTCCAACCAGAACCTAGGCCAACAACACGATGAAAGCGGTATAGATAGACGGGAGTACCTTAAGGACGTCGATGAAAAAACTATACACTATAATAGTAGGCATCGGGAGGAATGTCACGGGTACTGTAAAAAGGTAGCATATCGAGACTGCTGCTGGCTGTCAGTCCGACTTTTGTGTTGTTGGGGAAGGGGAGTAGTGAGCCGTCTACCGGGTTCTTCTTGTTGGGCAGCAAAGCGAAAATGTGCCGAAGTAGTTGAGCGAGGCACCGACATCATGGATTGGGATGGGATGGGAGCCACAGGAACCACAGGAACCACAGGAACCACAGGAACCATAGCAGAGCCTCGTCGGGCAGCAATGGAAGTCAAGTCATACTAAGGTACCTACAATCGCACAACCTGAAAATGAAAAGACTGGACTGGACTTGGGGCGCGGCGGCGGCGGCAGCGGCCGTGCTGAATGAGCAGACTGGCGTCAATACGCCTTCCCTTCCAACGCCCTACTACAGCGCGGATATATCATGGAAATTTCTTCTTTCTTTCTTTCTTTCTATAAGTACGTTGAACAAGGTTCCCCACCCCACCGACAATCTCAGATGTCATTTGCTTTTCCCTCCCACGCTCCTCGCCATGTTGTTGTTGTTGTTGTTGTTGTTCTATGTTCAATCCATCCACCCACGCTGCGTGCGGGTTTTCTGTGCCCGACCCACGACTTTGAAACGCCTGACCAACGCCTCGCCAAACAAGAAAAAGAAAGGACCAGATTCCCAGAAAATCCCCTTTTTTCATATCGCATCAAATCATCGCAAGCCCGACACGCCGAGACTCGGTTCCTTTTCTCAAACAGCTATCGCAGGCTGCTGGCCTCCGACGGCCTGCAAGTATTGCAGAATCGAACAGTCGTTGCACTGAATCAACTTTTGCAGATCGTTCACCTGCTGCTGTAGATTGCTGACCGCATCGACAGCCTGCTGCCTCTCCGCCTCCAATTCCTTGATATAAGTCGCCGCTGTAGCAATGATCATCGCCTTGGAGGGTAGCCTCGGAGGCAGAGCGGAATCCTCGACATCGGGCGAGGTGACATATGCATTCTTGAGGGAAGGCAGAGAGAGACGGAGCGTTTCGATCTGTGTGTTGAGGTTGTCGCGGTATCTGCGCTCGATGATGGTGTGAGGGATCCTACGGTGCGGTCTTGTCGGTCGTGTGGGGTTCGGTCGCTCGGCCTGTGGCGCTTTGCCCGAGTTGGAGTCCTCGGAGTCGCTGCTGGTGATGATGGCTTGCGAGTTTGTCGAGCCGGGAGTGTTGGCGTAGACGGGCGAGATGTGGTTCGGTGGGGAGAGTGGACTCCGGATCGGCTCTGGTTTCGCCATGGGGCCCGTCGCGCACGCTACACGCGCTGCTTTACATTCGTCCGGAACGGTGCCGCTGAGGCATTGTAGTGATTGTAACGAGGGAAAGCAGTCGGATGGCATCCCAGTCGAAGCCATGATCGAGCTTGGATGTTCGATGGCTGTGGGTTGATGTGTCGATTGGATCTCAGCCAATAGTGGTGGTGGTGATGGTTGGATGAGGTGAAGTCGTTTGGAGGAAAGTCAATGGAGCTACGGGTGGTCTGATGTACCTACGACGAAGGATCGTATTATATGCGTAGAGGAGGTTTCACGAGGATTCCGGGGCACTTTCGCCAGTCTCGCGATCGAGTCCCGGCACACCGCAAACGCGTGTTGCAGAGCAGGCCGTGAAGAGTCGGGGGGAAGAGCGGTATGGACCGTCGCTCTGCAAATTGATAGGCCGGCCCTGCCTGACTAAGGGTGGTCGGCGTTCGTGTTGCCGCTGTCGCTGGGAATGTGGTGTGATCCGATCACACCACAGAGCCCCACCCGCTCCCTGCCGAACTTGCGGCGAGGTCCGCCTGCGAGTCCTTTTCGTTCTTGGCAGGCTGTTGTCGCGCGCGGCGATGATCTCGATTCCCTCATGCTGGTAACGGGTGGGAAGAGACCCGCTCGCGCCCAGGCACACCGGCCCAGCACCCCATAATTCTCAGAGATTGCCCAAGCAGTCTGCGGTTGCACATGAGCGCATGTCGAAACGCTCTCCATATTGCCCGTCTGCACAAATCAAGCTCTCTGCGCGAGTAACTATATTTCAGTGGGTAAATGCCCTCCACCGTCCTCCATCGATCGGGCTCTGCGCTGCGTGAAGCTGAATGGGCGGCAGATATATCTCGCCATGTTCCAACGGCCACTGTAGTATCGTCAGTCGGGGGATCCGATGAAGCAGCTCTTGCGTTGATACAACTCACCCCTATTCAGATCCGAGGCATTGGTCCAGTAGTCTCAACCACCTCTTGTACAGCGGCAAGTGGGTCCCCAAATACCATCCATTCGTGAAGGCACCCACTTGGTCAATACCGAGCACCGCTCCAGTGTGGCCGCCTGCTTGGATTGATCTGTCACTGTCTTCCATCGCCGCCCATCGCGAAGGTCCAAGGTGAACAGGACGTGGCGCGTAGACGTGCTTGAAACTGTTTGGTGCATATGCATCAGGCGATGGGTCGATAATCGCATCCTCGGGTCCAAGACTGCTGGTCGCGGCTCCGAGACGTCTTCATAGTTTTAGTTCATATGACAATGATCCTCGGGCGGCCAGAGTGACGCAACAACATCGGCGTTGGGAGGGAGAAAGCTCAGTGCAGCATCTTGGCTAAAGCTCGATGGGCACTGTTGAGCTTGTTGCTTGCCGCTGTGCTCTAGTCCAACGGATCGTTGACTTCGCTCTCCGTGCTTTCTGATGCCTGAGCATCCGTCCGTCTTGTAACGCCGACAAACAGTGCACACCATCGAGCTTCATCCGATGACGCAGATCAAGAGAGAGCGAGAGGCCGTAGCAGGCGGGTATTTGAAGGCTCCACGGGCGGATGTGGACTCGAGTTGCGCTGACATTGCCGTAGTCGTGGACGCATGTGGCTACAGTCAACGATCGACGTGCCTTGTCTAGGCCGATATTATGAATAATATCGGTATCGGTATCGTGTCGTTATATCCGGTCCGAGGTTGCCGTCAACGTTGTGTCCGAGTGGAAGGCTCGTCCAGTCTGCCTTCCTCATGAGTACAGGTACGGCAAGCTTTAGAAGATCATGGAAGCGCCGGAGATGGAGAGAGATGGTGAGGTAGGTACGGTACGGTACCTACCTTAGTATCAACTTGGCAGGTGCGGTGTGAAGCGTTTGACTTCTCTTGGCACTTTCGCGGCGCAGGCGCGACCGGATACCTTATCCATGCCGCGATTGCAATGGACGGACTTGGAATCCGACAGACGTTGGTCGCCAGCCAATGCATCCATGGATCGAAGCAGAAGGGAGACTTGGTAGGGAAGGAAAGGAAAGGTCAGTCATGCCCGAGAGGGGAGGTCAGTCAAGCAATGCTCACCAATCCATCCATCCATTTCAACCATCACCACTCCAAAGTCGCGCTTCAGACGGGGGACATAGAAGACAGCTTATACCCCCAGAGACTCCCCTAACAACGGGCTCACTGCGCCGCAAACGTGCCTTGCGCGGTGGACCAGAAGACCCCGACCGGGGCTTTTTCGAAAAATGATTGCACCACCATCTCGCCATCACCCGACCAACTTTTGCGACTTTCGCGGCCTGAGCGACGCTAAACAGGGCCTGTGCAACACGACGCGGCCGATGTGATTGACTGATGACACGTCTGGAAGGAGGAAGGCAATGCATGGAAGGATTCGCGCCTGCGCGCGACTTCACTTCGCTCTTCACGCCGCACCCCGACCCCCAACAACAAGTGTCGTCGGCTTCCTGTCCGGCGCGAGGTTTGACGCTCGCCCTCCGCCCTCCGCTCTCCCTCGGTGTGTGGCTGTCCTCATCAGGCGACACAGCAGGCAATGCGCTCTCGTTGCACTTCGATCGTACCTCAATGCGCGATCTCGAGCGGGGTGAGGCCGAAGGGGGTTTGCTCGTGGGGAGATGCTCCAATTCCCGCCGGTGTTGTTCCGACGGCGCATGCTCGCGTATATAGAGTTGTCAAGCGGACAGTACTAGTCAGCAAGTGAAGTCGCAAGAGTAGTGCAACCACGAGACGTGTCCATCTAATAGATTAGCTGTCCTGCATGGAATTTCGTGCGTGGTGGATCTCCACACAGCTTACCGGTCCCAATCTTTCGCAGTAATCTCGAGCAGTATCGTGGTATGAGGCCAAACGGCAAGGAAAGCCGCCCGAATTTCAACAATGCTTTCCCATTACATCGTATCTACCATCCGAATTCCCTTTTCCCTCCTCCCTTCCATCTCACCTCAAGCGCAGCCCGCCACCCACGCTAAAATGCATCAGTTATCATACAAACACCCCGCGGACATGCTCTTCCCATGCACTGTTGTTGGGTTGTGATGCATCCCAGACGCCTTTTTCTGACAGTCCCTCGCTTCGCTCTGCTGTCGTCCCTAGGTAAATACAAGAAAAATATAGCTTCCTCTCTTCCTTCCCCTCCCCTCCCCTCCCCTCACCTCGTCTTCTAATCTTCTGTCCACGCCCCAGGGCTATGCTCTACAGCCGCCTTCAGTCGCCGCTCTTCATTCGCTTCCGCCTGCTGCAACAAGTCCAGCCTCCTTTCCACCTCCGACTCGAGCGTATCCAGCGCCTTCCCCTTCAAATGCCCCGCAGAAGTCGCTCGCTCAAACGTACGCAAGTCACGGGTTCTCTAAGCCTTCCGCGACCTGGCGACCCTTCCATTGGGAGCGGCGGCCTTCTCGTTGCCCGTACTGTATCCGTTCAAGGTGGCCTGACCGCCGCTCAGTCTCCTCCGCACCTCCTTGACATCCGGCACCAGCTCATCCTTCATCTCCACAAGTGCCGAAGTCGCGCGGCCCCTACCCCTCTTGACTGGCTTCTTGTACGTCGAGATGTAGAATCCGATGAACAGGACGAGGTACGAGCTGAGAATACCCATACCGGCGAATGCGGCGAATTCCTCTCCGGCGCAGATGCCGTAGGTCGGCAGCCAGGGGAAGTATCGGGAGGTGAAGTAGGTGTACGATGCAAAGTAGACGAAGCCGAGGTCGATGACGAACTGGATGATTTGGAGCATGGTGATGTACTTCTTCCACCAGATCTTAATGCCGCGGGCGGACTGGAAGTAGTACCAGTACATGACAACATGCACGGTCAGGTTGAGCGTGATTGGAACCCACGAGACCGCTGTGTGGCCGAGGAGCTGGGTGAAGCAGAGGAGCGCGGTTGCGCCGTGGTGGTAAGTGTGGAGGAAGGTAAGCGGCTTCTTCTTCAGGAAGAGGAATACCGTGTCTAGGAGCTCGAGGTACTTGGTCAGGTAGTTCAGCTGGCGTCAAGTCAGTACACAAATCTTTTTGCCCGGCACTGGCTCGGCACCGTCTGGTCTACTCACGTAGTAGAGAACCACAAGTTGCTGAGTCCATCCTCCATTGTAGTGGCAGACCGCATAGAAAATGCCATTCCTGTAGATGGTGGGGATCAACTGCTCCAAGAACAACACCAAGAGTATACCGCTGATGGCGGTCAGGTAGAAGTTGTGAATCTTGAAGAGACCGTTCAGCTTCAATGGCTGGCGGTCCTTCATGAGCTCGCGTCCCCCAAAGATGACGAGGTAGTATGATATGAGGAAGATGGCCGTCTCGGCCATTGTCGCCATGGGCGTCTTGCCGGGCACGAAGCGGAAGTCTTCTGGCGCATATCCGCGGAGGGTCTCGAAGGCTTTGGCGAAGATGGGCCAGAGGGCGAGGCCGAAAGGTCGGTCGAGCGTCGGCGCGCCGAATTCAATCCAGTCTGCAGTCGCCATTGTGTGTGTGTGTTGTCGATGCCGTGTCGGAAGAGAAGTGGGGGGTATAACAGGAAGGGCGAGGGATTGTTTGACGCGCGGGAGGAGGCGGATGTCGCGCGCGCTGCTGAGTGTCGCAATGGTGCAGCCGCTGAGGGCCAATTGCCAGGCTACGTCAATCTTCCAAAGGAGTGACAGGAAAAAGCAGTCATGGAGTGTCGCGACAAGGTGAAGGTCTGTTTCGGTAGGTGAAGAGGAAGCGAATGGTTGAGCGGAGAGGAAAGTAGCAAAGTAAAGAGGGCAGGCGTTTTCCAGGGGCGAAAAGCGATAACGACGGGACGCTACCGAAGCTCTTGGCACAAGTAATCTTACTCCTACCCAGACAGAGCGGACCAATAACTTTTCAATTCCGACTTCAGAGGCCTTGTCGCTTGTGCAACCTTATGCAGCTTGTATACAAATGGTACTTTCGCTGTGCAAGGTGGGAATACTTTATTACCACGGTCAGCTCAAGAATAGCTCGCTCATGGGATTCCTCCTTTCACATGTTTACATCCTGCCTCATCCGGAAGCATCACGGACCGACGCCCCACCGCCAGGACACAGCCGGAGAGAAGAATGGAAGATTAGATTATCATCGACACGCGCAGCTATCTCCCAAACAACCGAGGTATCCTTAGGACTTCATCTCAGAACCTCATCAGGAACCCTTCAACGCCACCTCCTTCTTCACACGTGCCTTGCCCCCCTCCCTCACGATCCATGACATCCTCTTCGGCATCAGATACTCCCTCGAAACAAGACACGAGACCCAGCCATACAGCCCGGCAATCGGCCAGACGCTCCAGATCAACGCCAAAACCCAAAGCAACCAGCCCTGTGCCTCCTGCTCCGGCTTCTTCACATCCACCCTGACCTTCAGGTACAGATTCGGCAGATACTCCGCATGATACTTCCTCCGCAGTGCATCGTACTTCTCTTTATCGTAGATCTGCCCGAATTTCTCTTCGGTGTAGTACGTGTGAGCATACAGCCATTTGCGCCCTCGGAGAGCTTGGACCTGATCTTCAAAGGCTTGATTCCACGCGATGAAATCGGACTGCTTGCCGGGTCCCGGGCCCCAGACGCCAAAATTGAGCACCATGTTCTCGGCGTCGTCCTTCGCGGTCGGAGCACCACCACCACCACCGAGGAGACCACCGTAAGTCGTGCCGTCTTCCCTCCCGCCGAGTTTGAGCGGACAGATCCATATCGGATAATTCCGGAACTCGTCGTCCAGATACTCCAAGAACCGAGCGGCATGCTGGTACGGGACTGCCACGTCTTGGACAATGTATTTGTCCGCGAGCCCGCTCTGGTGGAGAGCGTGGTACATCACCCGGGTGTGCGTCCACTTGCTGAGAGCCCAGCGCGTGAACCAATTGAAAGGCACGGCGAAGTATTGGTAGGTGTATTTCCCCATCCAGAAAGCGCCTCGGTCGTAGCGGAAGAGGTAGTCTTTGATGGGTATCGTTTCGGTCCAGCGGCTCCGTCGGGCGACGAGCTTCTCGGCGTTCATGTAGAACCAGTCATCTTGTGGGCGCAGGAATTGCTTCACTTCTTCTGTACCAGCAGCCATGGTATCCGTCAACTTTCCAAGACACAGAACCCCACGGTCTTTCGCAAAGAAGATTCCATCGATATAATCCAGCTTCTCATCTTCCTGCTCCCTCCTCACCAATTCCAATCCCTCCTCCATCCCGCTAATCCGGACATACGTCAACGAGACAAACCTCTTCGCCGGAACCAATGCGATCCCCAGCATCGTAACAACCCCCAGCGTCCCAAACGAAGACGCCGCGCCCCGGAACAGATCCGGACAAGAGTCCTCCGAAGCCACCACGACATCTCCATTCCCCAACACCATCTCCACAAACTTCACGGTCCGATCGAAAAGCCCGTGGCGAAAGGAACTGCTCTCCCCCGAAGTCCCCGCAAACCCACCACCACACGTGATGCCTGGGAAATCCATCACGACGGGCGGGAGGAGGCCGTGTTTGAGGGTTTCGTCTACCAGTTGATCCATTGGGACGTTTGGTTCGACGAAGACGAGGGGTTCGCCATGAGATGCGCTTTCTCTTTTGCTGCTGCTGCTGCTGTGGATGTCGAGGATATGGTTGAGGCCGCTGATGTCGACGGTGTTGTCGTGGCGATAGGGGGATTTGCGCGTCGAATTGGCGGTGCCGTGGTAGACGCGAAAGGGGGTTTTGCGAGCGTGAAAGTGTCGCACGCGCGCTGCGATTTTTTCGAGAGCGGCGTTGTGGGCTGGATGGTTGGGGGGCGTTGGAGCCATGCTAATGATGATGGCAGAAGGAAAGGCTATCTTCGGAATCAATGGGGAGGTGATGAAAGGGCTGTCGGAGATGTGTATGGTTTCGCGAAGTGTATGTTTGCAAGGGCTTGGTCTCAAGTCAAAGGAAAGACCTTGAGTGTCAACCACGCCTACGTGTCAAGTCCATTGTAGCAGTCGTTTCCCAGCGTGTTCTTACCATGCATCAAACTGCGCGAACGGAAAGAGACGCCTGAGATTTTCCATTCCCTTCCGCGCGGATAAGGTAAGTACCCAGCCTGACCTGCCTGCCTCTTCATCTCAAACCCCTTCCACCTTCCCAGTAAGCGCCTCCAGACATCCATCATAAGCCGCCTTCTTCACCAACGTCGTATCCTGCCCCTGCGGCTGGAAAAACAAATCCGCATACCCTTGACCGGCGAACGTACTCGGCACCCAACTATACGTATCCACAAAATCCCAGACGGTAACACCGATACACTTTTGCACATTCCGGCAAGCCGCGACAGTGCTATAGTAGTCTTGGACTTGCTGGGCCTCGGAAGCGGCGGTAGGGGGAAGCGTAAGCCTCACGTCCAGTTCCGTGACGGCGACATCGACACCGAGGGCGGTGAAAGCGTTCATGTTGGATTCCTGGGCCTCTTGGGAGGGAGTCTCGCCGGCGATGAAATGAGATTCCAGACCGACGCCGTCGATTTGGATCCCGCGGCTTTGGAGTTCTTGGACGAGGTTTTGGGCCGCGGTGGATTTGTTGCCGGCGTATTCGATGTTGTAGTCGTTGTAGTAGAGTTTAACTTTGAGGTTGTTCTCCTTGACTGCATCTGCAGCAGCTTTGAATGCCATGGGAACGTACTCGGGCCCGATGTTGTTATACCAGAAGTTGTCAAGGTATGAGCCGGCTGGGCTGTCGGAGAAGGCTTCGTTGACGACGTCCCAGCTGTAGCAGCGGTCACCGAAGTGCTTGACCAGAGTCTGTACATGGTTCTTGAGCACGGCGCTCAGCGTTGCATTAGTCCACGGTGTCGAAGGGTTTGTGACCCAAGACGGTATTTGTGAGCCCCAGATGAGGTTATGGCTATCCAACCCATCAGTCCTTGCTGAAACATGTCCGTGCGGCTTCACTCACCATCGAACCAACTTATGACTCGCCTCAGAGACTTCCAAAAACCTCTCAGCTCCCGTGAAATCAAACATATTCTGTTGCGGCTCCGTAGCGTCGAACTTCATGGCGTTGGCAGGCGTCGCTAATACGCCCATGTTAGGCCTTTGTTCCATCATTACTAGGTCTGCAGGTACACTCACCTTCACCAAAGACCCGGCTGTTGTTGAATTCCTTCATATAATACGGATCATTGATCTCGTTTGTGCCAGGGATATCAGCCGCAGTACCGAACCATAGCTTTCCAGACTTCTTCGCTGCGGCATTGAGACCAGAAGCTCGACCCGTAGCCGTGGCAAAAAGCGTTGTTGTTGGATTCGTATTTGTCGCTAACGATGATGCAGACGTCGAAACCGCCAGCACTGGCACAGCAGCGATGCACAGTTGGAAGGTGTGTTTGGATAACATTTTGATATCAAGGCCAATGCTTCGTAGTGGTTCTTCGCGGGGTTTACTAGATGTGGCCGCGCTCAAGTCCACTTATGTGAACGAATTAGCCAAAATAGTAACGCGTACAGGTCTTTAAACATTGTAGTTCAAACAAGCCGATCTCGACCATTTTAGCGACGGCTAGAGTGATAGCCACGAATCGTGAATGGTCGTCGTAGCACACGCAATCCCAGATGCAAAGCGATGTATAGACTCAAGTATAGGGCCTCGGTCCAGGGTGTCGAAACGTCAAAGGCAAGCCGCCGCACTGCCACGAGCTGCTATTGGAGGAACGGTCTACAGTGCAGTGTGCATCGCATATGATCCCCGCACGTGCCTATGCTATTCGACATCTGAAGCTGGTGGATGGCGTAGATGGCACTCATAGCTCGTCCGGCTAAATGTAGAAGTTCATTGAAGCTCTGCGGCTATTTGGATGTGGCTTGCTATGTTCTCGTGTCGTTGGAGAAGCTGAGTACCACTGCTTGACTGGTCAGAGACTGAATGAAACGCAATCAATGTGTTGCAAGTGAGTGTTCCAGGCGCCGCGAGCGACTTAGCGTCAAATTGGCCCGTCTGCGCCTGATGTTTAACCGATGCTACAGCCATGCGCGTTATTAATCGAATATCTCCTCACGTTCGTCGCAACGCTGTTGTACTAATGTTCTGGGCAGGATCCTTAGATATTCACGGCTTCACCTCGTGGACAGAGTTGTTGCTGGCCCTTTGCTCTATGCTTCCCGGTGATCGTGCGAGCTCGTCCATGGTTGAGTTGAGATGTGTCCGTTGACTTCGTTCCCCGTCTTCCATCGGCCACCTCTCCAGACATTCCAGTCCGTGCTGCTCGGCAAACCCGAAGCCTGTGTGGACACCGGTGTCCATCGAACAGCGTCTTCGTGGTTTCCAACCCCAGTTCTGTCCCGCGGCGCGCAGATCGACTGCGTTGTCCTATCGTCGCCCTTGCAGCTCTTTCAAACCTCGCACTGTATACCCCCTCAAACAATCGAATCCGCCGCCCGATCATCACTCGGCATCCTCATATACGCATCAATAGCAGCCGAAAAAGCCGCAAACCCAGCACACCCCACCGCCATAGCCTGCGGCCCCGAATTCCGCGCCAAAAACGCACCCGTAAAGCATCCCGCCGCGACTCCATTCGCCAGATCATTCTTCGCCCGGAACCCTTCAATCGCACATTCCGACCCCGCGAACAGGGCGCCTATGTATCCGAAATTCTTCGCCGACGACCATGAGGCTTTGCCCATGTCTTTGAAACCCGTCTTGAGCTGTTGGCGCCAGGGCAGATCGGTGATCTGGGTGCCGACGCCGCCTGGCATGCCGGCGGAGAGGGGCGTGTCGTAGCGCATGGAGGACATGAAGAGGCCGAAGACACCGCCGAGGGCGAAGCCCATGGTGCCGGAGATGGCGAGTTTCGCGGGGCAGGATTCCATTACGGCTTGCATCTAGATTCAGTAGATCAGTCCTCTGTAGAATAGAAGGCTTGATCGCTTCGGATGACAGGCCATGTGTGAGACGCACGCCTTTGATCATTGCCTGCTCTTGCACCTTTTGCGGATCCATGCCCGCGGCCCCAACCCCAGCTCCAGGCTGAGGCATTCCTGGGAACGACATGATACGCGACAACTGCGGTTGGCGGGACGGTACAGACTGTTGTTGAACTCGGACCTCAGTTGATGTTGCAGGAGAGACGATCGCGATGTAGTGCCCAGAGAAGCTCGACTCAACTCCGAGTCGGCTAGATCCGGGATTCTCGGGGAAGCCAAGACATTCCGCCGCGCTTGAGCGTGAGGTGAGGCGAGATTTAGGTAACATTTGTCCCAGAAGTTTTTCTCGATTTAAGTATATACAGTCTGAGGACGCGGCATCCAAGAGTCTAATTCGCGAGCTAATCAAATCAATCGTTCTTGCCCTTCGCGATCTCATAAGCCGCCGCTTCTGCACTTGCACCCATATCACCCACATAGTCATGCTGGCTAGTGAATTCTGTTCCAGGACTTGGTGTTAGGCTCCTCTCCCATTCAGTCAGTAGATTACTGGCAGTGCGTTTCAGGGATCCGAAACCTGATCTCTTCAAGGTTGGCCAAGGAATAGCTTCTTTTTTCGAAAGATCTCGCGAGTCCCGTTTCTTGCTCAGGCTAGGCCGTGGACTGCCTGATACAGTAGTTGGAACAGTCAACGCTTCGGAGGTGACACTGGACGAGGAACGAGATTGCGCCGGACTATCATCCCATGTGTCCCATCCGTCGTTTGATACAGCAGAGAGCCTCTTGGCCTGCTTCGAGATCGACGCTTTCTTCGCTGGAGCCTGGCTCGTCGTTTCTGTTGGGATTCCATGTTCGGTCCAGAATAATGGGTCGGCTAGATCTGGGAGACCAGCGGCAGACTGCTTTCTGGCCAGTGACGAAGGCTCGGTGGCATTACTGTTTGAGCTCTTCGACGACTCTCTCAGAGTATTGCGACTGCTTTGCTTCCTGATATTCTGCATGGAACTTTTCTTGCTGGGTGGATGTACTACCATTGCTTCTTCTCCAACTGTCGCTTGCCGTAGATCTTCCCAGAAAGTCCAAAGTCCGTCCTTGAAGTCCGTCGCAACCTTCTTCCCAGCTCGAAGCAGCGCGTCATGGTCGATGCTTCGCTCCTCTGGAGTTAATCCGTCCGGACCCCGTTGGCCATGCATATCTGATATGGTAGATGAGCGCTGTACTAGGGAAGGCCTCTCTTGTGGCATGCCCCCATCTTCACTTTGTCTTGTTCGGTTCTTCAGACTATCTTTTCGCGGAGGTGGCCGTGGTGGAATCACGTTGGGATTGGGGCCATCCTTTGCCGGCGAGAGCAGTGACAGAGTTCTGGTATGACGCTGACCAGGCAAGACGGTCCTATTGCTTGTTCTGCTGGACGACATCAAAGCCTTCCGCCTCTCCATTTCCTGTTGCATCCAAGCGCTTGAACCATCCTCGTCGCCCGCGGGGTCCGCATCTGGCAGCGAAGTCTTCAACGGCTGAAGTCGCGTGAGCTTATCGGCATCTGTTCTCTTCTTGTTGACTTCGTAGCGAGCCCATTCTCGCTTCAAATGGGTGAGGTCTGCCTCGGCTCGCTGCAACTCCTCTTTCAACTCCAATACTCTTCTCTCTTGACCGGCGATTAGATGCAGGTAGTTGCCTCCTGATGCTCCATTCACTAGCTCTGGAGTATCCGGAGGGGCGGAAGGTGGTTCTCGGACGGACGAAAAGGATGTTCGAGCCGGACTTTGTCTGGTGGCCGATTGTATGGGGAACTGAACAGAGAATCGGTTCGATCTGCTCGGATGTGAGGATTCAGCGGCCATGGCAGACATTGTTCTGCCGTGGCTCTGGAAGTTGGTCCTGCCTGAGGATCCGATAGACATCGTTGGGCTCGCCGGCGAGTCGCCATTCTCTTCGGGAAGGTGCTTGTTGCTGGCCATGTGTCCCAAAACGCCTCTCAATAGAGTACAACTCCCAATCTCATGAAGACATTAATCATTCCGACTTCAAGCGTCCAAGCCCCAAACGCTTGCAAAAGATGTACGAGAAAGTAGAGCACGCGACGCGCAATAATAATATCACCCTGACTAGGATGTGGGCATGGCAGGCATGGCGTAGTGTAGTTGAAACTTGAGTGGACCAGGGCACGGAGTTCGAAGTCTGGAAGTGTTCGCGCTAGCGTCGGAAAAACGGGCGTAGCCGGGGGGGAACACGTTCCTGCATTGCACACGCTTCTTCCCTGCGCTCCCTGACATGGCATCCCATCTCTCACTAATAATTCGACGGGTTATCTCTTCACCGCAACCACATCACGCATCGGCATCGCGTAGGAAGCTCAGGACACGGATGCTGAAGACGGCTCTGCTTCATGCCAGTCCCAGGCCCGTTGTGCACCATTGCGTCGTTGACCTCCAGCTTTCATTTCATTGTTCTGGAGAAGACAGCGGTGAACACGGAAGTCATTGAAGAAGAAGAATGCGCGCTCGGGATCCAGAAGGACATATCCGCTACGGCCATTGCTCCAACATATATAAGCGATTTCGATTCTACCTGTTGCCTGACAATGGCTCTCTACGCGCTAAGGAGCAGCTGCTACTTTCTTTACTAGCAAGATGCTGCTTCGCCTCCCAGATCGTACAGGATCCAGCCTCTACATCACAAAGCCGGATAGGACAGGTTCACGAGCCGCAGTATGCACTGTCCTGATAGTTCAACGCGTTTTCAAGCCATGCGACTGGCAACATTCAGCTTCCAACTCTCCAATATAGAGATGATTAGAGCGGAGTCGTCAGCCTTGCTTTGGATCCCTGTCGGATGGAGAGCAGAACTGCTCCTTCCCTTGGTGGACTGACAGAAGCATAGATGGCCGATCGCCGATCTACTCCGACTCGCCCTCGCACGATGTCAGGGTGATTCTTGCGAGCTCGTGAGTAGTACGCGATGGTCCGCAACGCTGCCGTAGCGGTAGGGCGAACGACTTCACGAGCGCATGTCAATTGAACGATGTGTCAGCGTTGATCCGGCGCTATTCAATCTACATTTGTCGAAGGAGGGCAACCTGCGGTCTGAACAGCCAACATCGGGTTATTGGTCGCGGGCAGTCCAGAGCATTGGCTTTCATCTGCATGCTGCACACTGTCCTGCACCATGCGGAATAGAAGCTTAGCCTGCTGTGCCGTGACAAATTCCTCTATTGGCTGCTACTACGCGTCTCAGTGCGAGCAACGGAGCATCAGCTCGCCTTCTAGTCGTTCTTAAGCTCGCGCCGAAGAGGCGCAGTGATCTGGAGAGCTTTTGTGCGCTCTCACGCCTGCCCGACGTGGTCTCTTCTTCCTTGGTGTGGCGTGTGGAATGCAGCGCGAAGGCAGCGCTGCATGAGCTGTTGTCCGCTAACCTGCTGCGTCTTCTAGCGAGCTCAGAGGGATTGCGATCCCTGCTCTGCTTCACAGTTGGTAAGGTCGAAGGAAAGTTGTGTGGTTCGGCAATCCCCGGAGATCTGCAGTCATGGGCTCCACATCGTCGCCTAGAATTGTTTCCCGAACGTTTGCACGCGGGCACACGTGGACAAGCGTGCCAGAGTGAACGTGAGGCGACTCGTGAGCTCGGCGTGAGCGCACGAGACCTCAAGAGAGTGAGACATGGCGGGGAAAGTAAGGTGAAGACGGCGCCGAGCTCTCTCACAGTCTTCAGGTGTAGTCAGCTGCCATGGATGACACGAAGACGAAGTGGCGGGGCGGGGCGGAGAAGAAGCGACGGGAAGGTGCAGGGGAGAAGGGGTCCGAACCTCATCAGCGTGGGGGCCAATCAGAGTTCCGCGCAACGCTGTCCGGCCGACAATCTAGACACTCTATGTAGACACTGCAGGCAGGTGCGATGGACACTTCCAAGTTACTACCACTGACCCCTCCCGTCTCCACTCCCGAGTCTCGCTCGACCCCCGCCTCCAGGCTGCAGTGTGTGCAGTGCCCTGTGCTTGCTGTGCTTGTGCTTGCACAGCTTGTACCTTAGGTTTGGCGCGCGAATCTCCCCAAACTTCCCTCCATCCCAGCGCATCGGATTGTGGGCACCTTCTGTCTGCTTCCTCTCCACCCGCACCGCACCGCACCGCACACCACTCCGTCTCCACGCCACGGCCACTTGCGGGCGCTGCACACGTCTGTGGTCGCTCCCTGCCAGCATGGCAGCCGCAGCGGCACCCGCACCCGCACCCGCACCCGCACCCGCACCGGCTCTGGCAGACGCCGCCATGGAGGATGCGCCCAACACCCTCTCCGCCGAGTCTGCCACCATCGCCACACCGCACGTGGACGGGGAGAAGACGCCATCGTCGGTGGGCGATGCCAACGCGAACAATACCAACAGTAATGCTGCTGCCCAGCAGAACGGCGCCAACGGGTCCGCCAGCGCAAACGGACAGCCTAGCTCCAACACGCGACTCTACAGCTGTGGGAAATGCAGCAAGAGCTACGCCCGACTAGATCATCTGTGAGTGCATGCCCTCACAAATCCCCTCTCCCACGGTAAACTCATCTCATCCCACCCAGTTCTCGGCATGTCCGCATGCACACGCAAGAGAAGCCATATCAGTGTCGGATTTGTACCAAGGCATTTGCGCGAGCCGACTTGCTCAAACGCCATACCCTCGGCCACAGTAAGGATGACCCTCAGGCCAAGCCCACCATTGTCCAACACAGCCGTGTCTCCCAAGCATGTGAAGCCTGCGCTGGCCTGCACCTGAAGTGCGAGGAGGAAAAGCCCTGTAAACGCTGTACCAAGAAGGGCATTCAGTGCAACTACACTGCCAATTTCGCGCCCAACGACATGCATCGCCCGTCACCACCCGACAGCCAGTATTCTCCTCAACCAAAGCAGAACTATGCCGAGCAGATTCACCACATGCAGAACATGCAGCAACAGATGCATCCCCGCATGCAAGCTGTCCAAACACCTCCCATTCAACGACATAACTCTTTCGGCCAACCAGGACCGCTGCCGCCCATGCAAATGACTTCTCCGCCCCATTCCCATCCGCACCCAGCGCCACAGATGGGTATGGATGTCCAGGCGACCATGATGCCCCCACAGACCCCAGGTCCGCCTTTCACCGGACCTCCCATGTTCGACTACCTCCGGGAGAAGATGATGCCAACCACAACACGACCAAATGGCGCCGTCCAAGTCATCGACTACCAGACCGGACAGGCGGGTCCATGGACTCCACGTGAGCTATTCGATTTTGGCGTCGACGCGAACATGGAACTCGATGATCTGGATTTGAGCTTCCTCGATACTTACAACAACGCAAATCCGTTCGACCTCAGGACACCGAGCATTGGCTTTCCCACTTCATCCGGCTCCGACATCATGCCCAGCTTTACATCCGCTCCCGCTCCACCCCTGGATACGACTGCCCTTCCCAAAGCGTCTGTCTGGCGTTTCAGGCCCCTCTCCAAAGACTCTGGCTCCGCTGAGCAAGCCAATCTCTCGCTACCTACGCCGACCAGTCTCGACATTGACCGCAGAGTCACTTGCGAGCCCCTCTCCCAAACATCCCGTGACAAGATTCTTGCAATGATCTTGAGCACTTGCAAGCCCAACAGCATCCCCAGAGCTGTAGCTTGCTTTCCTTCCATCGGCTTACTTGACAGCCTCTTCCAATTCTCGCTCACATCTCCGGGATCGCATGCCAAGCATTGGATTCATGCGCCGACGTTACTGGCAGGCCAGACACGGCCGGAGGTGCTTGCCGCCATCGTCGCTGCTGGAGCAGTACTGACTCCTGATGCTTCCATCCGAAAGGTGGGGTATGCCATTCAGGAGGCCATTCGAACTGCAATCCAAGTCCAGGTAGAAGAAGACAACACATTGATGCGCGACTTGCAAATCATGCAAGCATCGTTACTCCAGCTGAAGATTGGACTCTGGTCTGGCGACTCGAGAAAGATGGAACTTGCAGAAGGCTTTCAGCAGGTCCTTGTCACCATGGCGCGCCGAGGAGGTCTTTTCCGCCGCGGTACGTATGAACGCCTCGTTCCGTACGCCGAAGACAACGGCGAGGTGCTGGAGAACAAGTGGCGGCAGTGGGTCAAGCAGGAGTCGCGGAAACGTTTTGCTTTGCATTTGTTCCGCCATGATCTCGAGGCATCAGTATCGCTTCTGAGCAGTCCTCTGATCTCTTACGCCGAACTCTACCTGCCATTGCCCGAGTCGGAGAATCTCTGGCACTCTCCATCCGCAGAATCTTGGAAGGCGACATACATGCGCAACGCAGGACCACGACATGACAGACAGCCATCTCTGGTCGACTGTATCCAAGATCTAGACATCCTCGCTGTGCGAGACATTTTTATCGATCAGCGACAAGCCTCCATGGCCGTCCTCGGTGCCGCCTGGCGCATGATCTGGGAATACCGGCAGCTCGACTCTTCCATGAAGGACTACAACAATCAATGGAGTAGCGGCAATCTCCTCATGAACACACGACACCAAGAACTCACAAAACTACTTCAGTGCTTCCGCATCAGCTCGGCGGAAGACACGAAAGTCACGCTCATCGTTGAGCTTCTGCTTATGCACCTGCACATGTCGCTCGACGATGTACAGCTCTTCGCCGGCGTCGAGGGAGAGGAAGAATCGCGCAGAGTCCACCCTTCCCTCGTCCAGTGGACGCGAACATCGACAGCACGACAAGCCATGTGGCACGCCGGCCAAGTCCTCCGCGCAGCGAGAAACCTTCGACCTGGATTGATCTGCGATTTCGCTGCTATAGCAGTCTACCAAGCCAGCCTGGCCTTCTGGTCCTACGGAATCATCACACGCGCGACGGAACCTGGCCCACACAGTAGCAATAATCCCGCCGCTTTCCTGGATGGCGGCGACGATAATGGCGTCAAGCGCTGGATTATCAACGGGAAAGGAGGAGCCGTTATTCGCACGTGGACCGTCAAACCGCCGTCGGAGAACGTGGCTATGGTCTCCAATCCGGATGAAGTGGTTGGGGCTGTCGTGGCCACGATGCGGAGGAATCACAATGAGACGAGGAATCCGCCGCTTGTGGATAATCTGATCAATATTATGGAGGGATTGAGGAAGGCTTCTAGGACATGAGCGGGAGTTTAGCGGGTGGGAGCATCAATGCACATATCTTGCTTGAGGCTTGGTTTCCATGACCAAACCTTTTTCAAACATCTCGGCAATTGCCAGCTTCTTCTCGACGCCGTCAGTCGGCCCACAATGTTTAGGCGAGGAAGAGAAGGATATGCCCAGGATACGACATGATTGAGGATACGAATGCATTTAGCACAGGCATTGAGGTGTGGGAAAGAGGGATATTGGCAATTTCGAAGCGAAAAATTTACGGTGTTTGTTTGATGCGGGAAGTCCAGTTCTCTGTCTGTGTACATAGGGGCCTGGAGAAGCGGATGGGCGGGAAACGGAATGATACCCTGGTGATTTTTTAACGCAAAGGCCGTAGGTAGCACAGCAGAATATCCGTAGTACTTTGCTGCTTGACATACTACATCGTCTATCGACCAGAAACTCAAAGAAAAAAAAGAGTGATGAGAATCGCGGAGAGAGAGACTCACCTTTTGTTGTCGTGGACCCTGTTTCACGAGCCTCCGAGAGAGAGAGGAGACGCACTACTACCCCAGTATAGGTAGTTGTGCAATCTCGATCTCTACTTCTACAGGTGTTGTTAGTACAGCAACGCAAGCGTCTCACTCGCGTCAATATGAGAGTCGGGCCCTCGAGCGCTGCGGGACCACCTTCCGCGTGCAATCGCGAGCCATGTGTCCCTTCTCACGACATCGATGGCATTCCATATCCGCCAGCGCGGAGAGCGGTGATCCACGCGGCTTGGGACCGCCGGCTCGCGAGTTGTTGACGGCGGCGGCGGCGGCGACACGGTTGAGGTTGACGTCCTTCTTCCTCCTCTCCCCCGCCATGCGAGCAGAACCTGCCCCGTCGGCTTTCCTCTTTGCTTTGCGCTCGGCGCGCGCGCGTTCCGCGGCGGACTTCTGGCCTTGTGCCATTAAGGCCTTGACGCCCGTTGGGTCGTCGGAGAGCTCGCCGGCTGAGGATCTGTCGTTTTCTTCTTCGTCCGATTCGTTTTCGTCTGATGATGAAGATGAAGAAGAACTGACGTCCGGATTCTGCTGCTTTTCCAATTTCCGGTTGAATCTGCCGAAACTCTTCCTTCCCGCTGTCCATTTCGATGGAACTTCCTCTTCGCTTCCCTCCTGCTGCTGCTCGTCCTCGTCCTCCTTTGTCACCTCTCTGTCCGCTGCTGCGTCTAGCGCCGAATACCCGGCAGAAACGATCCGTAGCGGTGCTTGCGCGGCAGGTGTCGAAGGCGCCGGAGCCTGGAAGCTCAGATACCACTGTTCACTCTTGCTCAGGTCCGGTGCGCTGCGGCTCTCGGACGCCGGTGATTGCTCGGCGGGCGGAGCAGGCGATCGGATGCTCGAGCCGTTCGAGAGGCGCAGTTTCTTCGCTGGAGGGCCTGCTGGTGTGTCGCCGGGTGATTCGGGCGTGTTGTTGTTGTTGTTGCTGTTGCCGCGCTGCATGAATTTCATGCCCGCCAGGCGGCTGGACATTGTCTTCGTTTGACGTCCTTGCGGGGCCATGGTGGGCGATACGTTGTACTGGTCGGAAGTGTTGCTGTTGCTGTTGTTGAGAAGAGAAGGGCTGGTGTCGCGAAGTCGAAGAGCGAGCTAGCTTGGCGGCTCGTACCGTGATCCGAGTTTTGGCCTTGTTCTTTCCCTTTTCTCTGCAGGATTTCATGCCCATTCCCATTCACTTACATCGCAACTTTTTGTCTTGGCGACACACGTCCCGTCTCAGGCGATAGTAGGACGACAGACGTCCAAGCAATCACGTGTCACGCCATCCTGATCGATCGCCGCAGCTGAACGAGAATGACGCGTCTTACAGGCTCATAATTGATACATCGCCGGCGGCTACCTACTCGTATGGAGCTCCAATATGCTTTCCCGGGCCTGCCAAGTTTCCTGGCCTGTACGAACAGGACCGGCATCGTATCCCTCGTCAGACCTGCAGCAGAGGCATTTATCTATTGGAGTTGCTCGCGTGACCACTCCTCACTAATTTTCATCGCTCTCGCTGGTGTCTCTTTGTCGAATATGCTTATTCATTTCATCCTGTTCCTCTTTGCTATGAGGCTGAATGTCAAGACGAGATTCCGATCGAGACCATGGAATTGACGGTATTCACTCATTACACCGCGAAGCGAAGCCCGGGTGATTCTCACTGCCTTACGAATCATGGAGTCATTGGGGTCCCTAACGATTGGCAATCCGAAATGAGGTTGACCGAGGTACAAGACTTCTTCTGGACGTCGGAATATCAGAAATGGCAGGACACGATTCTGGAGAATGCTGTTGGGCGATCACGATACCACTGATGCTCGGTAAGCCGAACTGCATTCTCCGACTACATCCCGAATGCCTCAACGACACGCATCGTAACTCACGCCGTACGCGTCTCTAGCGGCTAAACGTATACCTTACTTAATGGAGTCACGGTCTCTGGCCTCTGTACTGGATGGACGATGAAATTCAAGATGCTCTCAAGCATCGTCCTGCATTTCCTTCCCGGTCTTTCGCTGTTTGCAGATGCACGAATCAATACGGCTGGTACTGCCATCAGTTCTTACTCCTTGAGACGTCGAATGCCAGCTGAATTTTGATCTCAGCCGGTATTGTTACAATCACAGCTCCATGACAACACTGCGATACCCCAGTCGAAGAGTCTCCATTGCTATCGAGAGCAACTACGTTCGCCTCCAACGCTTCTTTAAATTGTGCTTCGACTACGGGCAGTGTCTCGACTATTTCAGCGAGCGCAAATCAAAAATCTTCCTCGCCACTGAGCCGGGGAGACGAAATTGGCACCATAAAAATTGGCTCCCTGACAGCATCATCGCTGCAAATACAAAGCAGTGCCATTGCTGTGTCTGCAGCATGCCCTCAAGAAGACGGTGCAGCCACAATCGTGCCCCATGGCAGCCGGTGGATTGTCAACTGCGAATCAGAGTACATTGGTACCGAAACCTGCTCCACCTCAGACTATAAACGCCAGGTATCTACAATGGAACAATCAGTAGCATGCAAAGCGCTTCCAAAACCACATCGAGCTCAAATCCGGAAACGCAAAATCAATCGCTTTCCGTGAGCTCCACGTTGCTCAACGAAAACAGCCCGTCCATGGAAAGCGCTACGAGTACAACGAGCAGCATGTCGGAAAGTAGTCTTTGTTTTGAAGACAGCGAGCCAATTCGAGTCCGGTGGCCCACTGATTGTGAGCCTGATAGACGGGGGATCATTCAGCGTTCTTTACAGCGACTACGCCCAGTGCGGAGGTATCCCTGGCAGGTTATCTCGACGGCGATGCTAGCTTGACTTTCGCTTCCTGTCTTGCGCAATGCACGGGCTCTTGTACTGGCTCGATATGTCTGGCCGATGCTTTATGCATGGAAAACTCTGCTGGCTGCACGACCTATCTATGAGCTTGAAGGGTATGGCGCTACGATAACGCAGTATTCGAAGCTTCTTCTACGGAGGTGCGATTCCTTGATGTGCTTACATTCACATGGTAGTGCGACAGACCTGGGAAAACCCAACTGGCATATGAGGAGCGCCTCAGCGTTGAATTGGAGAGCTTCCGACTGCATAGAAGAACCTACGGGGTCATCATAAGACGCAGTCTGTCCTAACTAGCAACGGTCCCCGTATATCCCCTAAACCCACCCACATCCTCTTTGAGGATCTCCGGCAACTCATCTTCCACATAACTCCTCTTCCAATCCTTCTCCCTCGGCTTCCATCCCAACTCCCGCAACCTCACCGCCCTACTGCGAGAATTCAAGCCAATCACCGCACCCGTAAAGTCCCCAAAGACATCTCCCCAGAGCTCCCTGACCAACTCCCTCGGCTTCGGATCCCGAATCCGTCCCGCCTTGTGCAGATGTTCCCCAATCGTCTCCGCAACCTCACGCCAAGAGACTTCATCATCACCCGTACATTCGCAGAAGTAGTAAGGGTTCTCCAGCAGCGTCGCGGGAGGGGAATCTTCCATATGGTGTAGCAGGAGGATATACGCCCTCGCCAGATCCATCACGTGGATATTCGATTCCACGCCTTCTCCCCTGCCCACGTGCGCTGCGTACCCATGCTTCAACGCGAATCTGGTCAGGGTGGGGATTTGGATTGTCAATCGGCCGTGTTTGGGATTGAAGCCGTAGATCAGGGGAGGAATCATGATGGCTAGTTTGGCCTTGTCTCCGAATTCCTTTTGGGCTGAGACGACGGCGAGGTCGATTTCGCGGTGAGGGGCGGTTGATGGGAGAGCGTCGATGGAAGCACGATCGGTGTCGTGGTAGATTGGGCCGGATTTCTTGTTGCTGCCGTTTGTGGCGTAGTCGTCGAAGAGGGAGGTGCCGGAGGTGTGGATGAAAAGAGTCGGGAGGCCTTTTGCCGCTCGTGCCCGGACGCCTTCTAGGACGGCGAGGACGGAGGGGAGATGGTCCGCCGTTGCTGTATCGCATGGTCAGCATCTGTGCAGAAACGATACGATCGGGGAGGGAGGTGCTTACCGGTGTGGAATACAACATCACACTTCTCCGTCTGCTCAACAATAGCCGCCTTGTCATTCAGATCTCCATACACCCCACTCGCTCCGGAATTCTGAATCTGCTCTCCATGTTCTCTTCTTCTGACAAAGCCAGTAACCTCATATCCCTCCGCCACGAGCAGGTCGAGGACATTCCAGCCAATGAAGCCAGGGCCGACGATGAAGACTTTCTTTCCTGTAGACATCTTTGTTTGCTGAATGACGAGGTGATCTGTTCGTGCTCTGAGTTCTATCAGTAATGTGGTTATATATTTGTTGGCTTTGTAATCTGACTGGAGGCATGGAGTCTGCTAGTGGGGTTCAAGCAGTGGGGATAACATCATAGAGGGTCCAGATGCATAGAGCTTGCGATCAACACGGTAGTAATGGCGCGGTCGCGGGTGTCATATTACCTGACTGAGAGATCTTCTTGCGGAGTGAGCTGACTTGGAAAATGTCGGAAAGATGATAATAGACAAATTGCCGCCTTGAAGGATCTGGGCATTGTCACGCCTACACTGCTAGCTGTCGTCGCTATACTATGCCTCAGACTTGGCAATCACATGCACACAATTCGTTTCGAAGAACAGGGAGATCATATGCCTCGCGGTCTCACTCCTCCACAAAGTAGAAGTCGGCAATACCCTTGCCTTTTCAAGAGTCCCGTATGCCTGCTTCGCTTCCTCGAAATCCTGCTCATGTCCGGGGGCACACCGCACATCGGCTTCCCGCAACAGCTTCTCATATTCAGGCTTGCGCTCGTCCCAGAATAGCATCTCTTCCAGCAGCGCGATCCGCATACGCGAGCGTTTCCTGGAAAGCAGAAGTGCGCGCGACAAGACATAGTTGTTGAGATTGAGTCTGATGATTGCGACAAAGAATGCTTTCAGGACCTGTTCTGCAAGCGCGGCATTTTCTCCCTTGCTCCATAGTTCCACACGCGGATGAGCAGCAGCTGATGATCCTCAATGGCATCCTCTGGGTGTTCCATCGCGTCGTAATCCTCGAAGTCGTTGACGTTGGGAACGCGGTCGTAATGAATCCAATACAGAAACGTGTTGATGATAGACGTGCTGTCGCAGAGCCTGAAAGCTCGACCAGTGGCGTTGCGTTGGCGCAACTTGTGCTTGATGAATGGCTATGCTTTGCTCAAGAGGCGGCGCTCGATCAGGAGTGGCGGCTTCCTCAGATCCACGTGCAAGACGACAGCGCCCGACGGGTCATTTGATTCGGAGAGACGCGCGATGAGATGATCGACAGTTTTGCTGACGGGTTCGTATGGAGCGAGGACGGAGGAAGTGCCTGCTGCTTCACTGCCATCCTGAGCGACGCCACTGTCTTGCGGAGAAGCTGCCTGACGGCGCTCTTACAAGCCACATGCGGAGTGGTCATCCATGGTCAAAGTGATTTCGACCATGGATTGGTCCAGTTTGCCGGCGGTGGCAGCTTGCTCGAAGCTGGGCAGCTCAAAAGTCCGAATTCTGCAGGCACGCGGTCACGGAGCTCGCTCATGATTGCCAAGCAACGCCGGGTTCGACAAGAACCAGAACTACCAGAGATGCCTAAGGACGGCTTGGGGATGGAATTCCACATCCTCGGACGCCCTCTTACGATCATGAACGCTTTTCTCACTCGGGGTTTAACCCATCTCGCTTCTTCCAAAGGCCCGGTCCATGGCAGCACCCAGGTCGTCCACGTCTTTGCCCTGTCGCGGGATGCTATCCGCCTCTGCCCTGGACGCAGGCTCGTCCATCAAGTTCTTACTACCGCTAGCCTCTCCCATCTCTGCCTGGGATTTTTCAGGCTGCAATATTCTGTCTTCTGTGTCGAGCCACCCCGGTGCCTTCCTCCGCTTCTCTGCCAGTTCTCTGTCTTTGATACCCTGCTCCCACTCTCTACACTGCTGCTCCGCGCCTTTCCGCTGCTTCTCGATCTGTTCTGATAGCGACTTGTTCTGAGCCACGATGGAGCGGGGATGCGCTGCGAAGCCCGAAGATGAGGTCACGTAGCCAGGCAGGTCAGGATTAGACGGGGCAGGCGGTGAGCTCAGTATTGACTGAGGTAATGTCGACGGCAATGAAGCATAATTATGCGGCAGTGTCGGAGCCTTGGGCAGGTCGATGAAGGGGTTCACGCTGAGTGGTGTCTGCTGGAGCAGAGGATGGGATCCTACGCCCTCGGTTAGCCCAGTACAGCTACTGTCGCACGTGGACTGGCTCACTGTCGCTATTCATGGTGTTGTTTGATTATCAGTATACTTCGTCTTGCAATGTGAAGCGCAATCGGTATCGGAAGGTCGAAGGTCGAGGTCGAGTCCCCGCAATTGGAACCCAAGCGAGATCTTGGTGCCTGAGGCCTCAACTTAACGCTCATAGGACCAAGACCAGAATGAGTAGCAAGATGAGAACGAAGATCAGGACTGCAATGCAGCAGCCGGAATACCGATCTAAGTCGTATGTCAGCAGATGTGCCGAATTGCACTGCAAGCACAGCTTTCCGGGCTGTAGCATCAAGAACTCACCCTCATTCTTCTCAATGACATAACGTATCTTCTTCATACCCGTCTGCAACTTCCCACCAACTCGATCCGTGATATTCTCCGTATCTTCAAGCAGCTCCGCCTGCTCTTCGAGCTCTCGGCCCATGGTATCAGCCTGTGCCCTCAAATTGCCGACAGTCTGGAACACCCCGTCCAGGGCCTCATCCTGCTCATGCATAATCTCCATCTGCCTCTGCTCTTCCCACGCACCATACCCATCATCCCCTTCGTCATCCATATCCTCGAATGTATCCGGATTCGCCAAGCCCGAAGCAGCACCTTTGCCCTTTCCAACACTGTTCCTCCTCGCATCCGCTGCCTCCACAGTCTGATTCAATTGTCGATGCATATCTTCCACTTCTCGTCCCACGTCTTCGACCAGTTTCCGTCTGCGACCGACCTCTGCGACGTCCAAGCCATAGCGATAAGGGTCGCCTTCGACTGCTCGGACGCTTTCGACGAGATCTTGGAGGTCTGCGCTCAGGTCTGTGAGGGTACTCTCGAGCTCTTGTCGCGATTCGATCAGTTCCGGAGAGTTTGCACTGGAGGCTGAGGAGCGGATACGGAGATAGGATTGGAGCAGTGGTCGTGTTTGTTGGAGGAGGGAGATGATGTCTTCTTGGGCCTCTTGAAAGGGATCGGAGGCCATGGTCGGCGATATTCGGTGGGCTTCCGTTATGGAATAGCCAGGCCTATTATTGCTTGCTATCTCACATCTGTCGCGGCGACTGCCGGAATCTTTTTGTTGTAGGTGAGTGACGAGAGTTCTCTCGATGTGTCTCGGGGGTCGCGAGCGTGAGCAGGGGGCGCGTTCCACTAGCGTGGATCCGGCCCGCGAGAAAGCTTCCATTCATATGATGAACGTTCAATTTCCTCCGCTTCTTGACTTCTTCACATCTTCGACGACAGGTACTATGAAACTCCTGACAGCTCAATCGAATCATCTGCCGAAGCTTGTCATGCGCAGAGTTGACCCTTCAAGATAATCTAAGTTCTTTGCAGGCAACATCGGCTGAACCAACGAAATGGACGAAAAGCTGGGCCCAGAAAGGCCTCTACCTCACACAGACGACTTCGAAGGCGCCGAAGAATATGTGACCTCCCTTCTCGACTTTGTGGGATCCAACCATCTTCTGCGCACCTTTTGCGGAGGCGTGCACGTCCTGGACTTCTTCACGAGCGAACCGAGTCTCTATTCGAAAGTACTGCCACAGGAATGGCGAGATTGGTTCGCACAGCGCGAGATCATGGTCATTCTGGATTTCCTGATGCGAGAAGATCTTAGCTGCTTTGAATCTGGAGAGGTTTCCTGGCGAAATGGACCTCTTCCTCCGGCGAGCTTGCTAGAGTACGTTCGAACCGTGAGGAGGCATTTACTCAGCCGAGAGCCCGGTGGATCTCAATGTTCCCGAAACAGAGCGATAAAGCCTACTCAAAAGTTAGCGAGACAAGTCGCGGTTGGAATGAACGTTAAGAAAGTACACGAGGTCGGCTTATTTGCCTCCTACATCGACAGGCTTACCGCGTCATTCGCCGACTCTAAGGGCCAAGCGATTTCTCACCTGGTAGACTTTGGATCAGGCCAGAACTATCTTGGACGGGCGCTGGCCAGTGCGCCTTATAGCAAGAACATTGTTGCTATCGAGAGCAAGCAGTCTAATGCCGAGCGCGCGAAAGAGTACGATGTCAGGGCAAAGTTAGCAGTGAAGAATAGATTGATGAGAAACAAGAAAGCTTTTAGGGAAGGCCGTGAAGGAGCCGGTACAAGTGTGGTACCAAAGTCCGTGACACCTGTTGCGCTGCCTACACCGCCGGAATCTGGAGCTGATGATTCAATTGATGAGGGCCAAGCTGCGAAGACTGCCCCTGAAGTGGAATTGCCCTCGATGGGGGTTGGCAAGATACAATATGTGGATCACCGCATTCAAAATGGCGACCTGAAAGAAGTGATAGGGCGTATTCCCACATCTTCTGCCGAGAAGAACCTCATGGTCATATCGCTTCACTCTTGCGGCAATCTCGTTCATCACGGTCTGCGATCGCTGATTCTCAACGATGAAGTGAAATCGGTCGCCATGGTCGGCTGCTGCTACAATCTCCTCACCGAGCGTTTAGGTCCAGCCACCTACAAGCTCCCAGAATTACGACCCACGACATTCGACCATCCTCGGCTGGAGAACACGGGGGAAGCAAACGATCCACATGGCTTCCCAATGTCAAAGCGCTTCTGCGACTACTACAACCCACAAAGTGGGAGTGAGAGCGATCAAGGAGTCAGACTGAACATCACCTGTCGTATGATGGCCGTCCAAGCGCCCTCCAACTGGGGCTCGTCGGACAGCGAAAGCTTCTTCACAAGACATTACTACCGTGCCCTCCTCCAACGAATCTTCCTCGATCGCGGCATCATAGGGGCTCCTAATCCAGAGCGTACAGTCGGACGCAGTCCTGCCGGCCACACAAGCGGCGGTACTCCCATTGTCATCGGCAGTCTCAAGAAAAGCTGCTACGAGAACTTCGTATCATACGTCCGCGGCGCTCTGGCAAAACTTGTCATTGACTTGAACACGGCAGATGTCTTCAAAGAGCAGATGGGCGATATTACCGATGAGGAGATCGAGAGGTATGATCAAGAGTATGCGGGCAGGAAGAAAGATCTCAGTGTCATCTGGAGTCTAATGGCTTTCTCTGCTGGCGTGATTGAGGCTTCCATCGTGGTGGATCGATGGCTGTGGTTGAAAGAACAAGAAGAAATGCGAGAAGCTTGGGTGGAGCCCGTTTTCGATTATAGGCTGAGTCCGAGGAATTTGGTGGTTGTGGGCATCAAACGGTGAAGGAGAAGAGCCATCTCGACTCCTCGGCCAACTCCGAAGTGCACGCCTGAAATTGGAGTATATCTCCTTCAGTCCCAAAGACGCTGTGGCGAAGTCGAAGATTCACCGACTGATCAAGTCCAAACGCCTCGGGGAAGCAAACGAACCGACAACTGCCAGCAATCTGTGCTCTCCGATCGACGGCAAATCGGCCGGCTACTGCAAGATACACTTCTTGTTTTCTGTGCGACATTGTCAGCGGTGCTACGAGACAAGGGAGCCTTTCCAGTGCGGTACGCACCTTCACCATTGAGGTAGCTCTGCATCGCTCGTCTCTGCCCCTCAGCCTCTTTCTCTGGATCTAGTTCCCCATTACGCCAGCGCCTCTCTAGCTCACGCATGCTCATATTACTCAATGAACGCTTCTTTCGACGCTTTCGAGGAGCTGAAGACGACTCGGGCACTGTAGCGCTAGGAGACGCTTGCGTGTGTTGCCCTAAAGGTGGATTATGGGACCTCTTCACGGACGGCGTGCCAAAGCCGAATCCAGATCCATCATCTTGGAGAGTTGAGTTGCGGGACTGGTTTGCGGCTTGGCGCTGCGTATGTCGATTGAACATCTGCTGCATCTGAGCAGTTTGTTGTCGGAGTTGGGAGTGCTGAAGTTGTGCAACGACAGGATCTATCTGCATGGCATTGATCGATTGTGCGGCTCTCGCGCGTTCTGCTGCTTGGTTGGTATTTTGCCTTCCGGCGTTGGTCTGGGTTCCTCCTGAAGTCTGCGTCTGTGGCTCTGCTGGGCGAGAAGGCTGTGCTGTTTGTACCGATGGACGTCCCGATACTGTCTGCTCTGTTTGCCAACGTTGCGCACGTCTTGCTGAGCGAGTCTGGGCTTGCTGCCGTGGTCGAGAGTTTGGTGTCGTCTGTTCTATTCCCTGGGGCTGTGCGGGTGTTGCTGCTTGAGTTGAGATCGCTGGGGCGGAGCCAGCCCTTGATGCTGCCTCTTCTGTGCTTCGAGACTGTACAGGCCTTGACGCCTGGTCCTGGGCAGACTGTGCTGGAACAATGCTTGGTACTGCCTGCGTCGGTCCTTGTGGTTGCATGGCTGCCGGTGCTTGTGCGGGCCTCTGAGCTTGCGGTGCAGCCGTATTGGAAGCCTGTGGCGGTGTTGCTCTACTTACCGGAGTCTGCGCTGGTCTCTGACTCTGCACTGGCTGTGGTGGTCTTTGAATTTGCTGCGGCGATGCTGTGGACTGCTGCGTCTGTGCTGGTCTTTGCGGTTGCGAGGCCCCTGGCGTCGATGCTTGTTTCGATCCTTGGATCTGCGTGGCTACTGATCCAGCTTGAGATTGGGCATTGGGTCCATCTCCCGGGTTGGCTCGGTGAGCAGGTGCCCGAGGCTGCACGGGAATCGGCATTGGCGGCTGTTGCGATTCTTGCAACTGCGCGCTCTCAGCTTGTCGCCGTGCCAGCGCAGTCAAAGCCAGCAAGCCGGTTCCATGATCTCGTGGTAGAGCACTCCGCTGGACTGGTCTCTGTGCAGCGCCGGCTACTGCAGAGCCTTGTGTCGGCTGTGACGGTCTTTGGGGCAACGCAATTGTTGGTTCTGATGCTTGCGTCGCGGAAGTCGCCTGTTGCTGTACTACTCCAGGGTTTGGCGCCTGCTGTGGTTGCCTTTGAGGCTGCAAAGATGTTGCTCCCGACTGCTGTGCCTGCGCTTGTTGAGGGACTCTCGTCTGCGCTGCTCCATGAACCTGCGCAGGACGTGGTGCGCTCTGAGGCTGCGTAGGCGTCGTTCTCGCCGTCTGTGCCTGTGATGGCCCAGGAACTTGTGTTTGAGCTGGTCTCTGGAGAGGCCTTGAGGCCAGTGTTGGTACTCTTGCTGCCCCAGAGGCCTGTGCTGTCCCAGATGCCTGGGCTTGGCCTGGATTCTGCGCTCGTGCCGACTGAGGGACTCTCGAGGCTTGTGCTGGTGGTTGTGCTGCTCGAGCGGCTGTTGCCCTGGGTGCCTGCGCCTGGACTGGTCTTGGCGTCTGCACTGCTTGAGGTGGTCTTGGGGCTTGTGCTACTGTCGTTGTCTGCCCGGGCCTAGATGCCTGCGTCTGCACCGTACGCGGCGCTTGCCCTGCCTGGCGGGATCTCGAGGCTTGCGCTGGTGGTGCCGCAGGTCTACGGGGCGGTGATGGCGGCTTCACGATCCTACTCCATCTGGGGCAGCGTCCGTCACTGCTCGGATGCAACTCATCCGACCAATGCCCCGAGAATGCTCGTGCTTCTCTACCACAGCGATAACAGAATGACATGCCGCATCGAGAGCAAGTCATATGGTCTTGTAGTGAAGAGATTAGCGGAAACGAAGCATCGACGGGAACACTTCAAGACTTACTACACCCATCCTCGAGGGACGTCCGGCGATGACACCTCGGGCAATCCTGGTACGCGATGCCTCTTTCAAGGCCCGCAAATCCTTCTGCGCGAGCTTCTTTCCGCGCGTTGATGTGCGCGTCACAGTCATGCGGAATTTGTGTCTCTTCTCCCGTGCCGCGGACGGGTGGAAAGTCTTTCGAACAAGACATGCAAGTCCACGCAGTGCATTTTTCGCATCTTCGACAAACAGCTGGCTGCGTCCTTCTGGGACCTAGAAACGTCCCACAGTCATCAGTACCTTGCGGCCTGTAGTGACAGTGTATCTGCTGGTCCACCGGGATCCGCTCTATCGCTTCTCTGGCTCTGCATCTACGCAGTAATTCGGGGCCCAAAACGTGAGCATAGTTTCCTACGAAGAGGGGCCTGGAAGCCCAGTGTGGTGGATAGCCGTCTGCACCTTCGAGCGCTCTCCGGAACATGAGACGCACGCATTCAGGGCAGATTTGGTGGCCTGCGATGTTAACTGGTTGAACGAAGGCGGGCATGTCGCACCCGAGAACTTCGCAACTCCAGGACATCTTTGCTGGTGATGACTGGGATCGATTCTGAAGTATGATAGAGTCTGCTGAGGCGGCGTAGCAGGCTATAAACCTGTATGCACGTGTTTACTGAGCAGTATGGAAGACTTGGATTTCCCCTCTCACTGTTAACGGAGACGACAAACGACAGAAAAACCTCGATTACCGCATTCATTGCTAAGAGCGTCGAAGTAGTGTTTCTCCTGAACACCGCTTTATTGCATATCGCTACTAGACATGCTACTTGCAAATATGGCACCAGGAAGCGGCTATCAGCCTAACTGTTTGTGTTCTCTTGCAAAATGCCACACCACAAGTAGTCAAGCCAAGTTGTCGCTAAGTCAGACATTCCTGAGCAACGAGAGACAAGTCCGGATGAAGCTGTCTGATGACACAAACACATCAACCTGGCCGATGTCTGGGGGAGTTTCAACTTCCAAGACATCGAGCTCTACAAAGCGGACTGCTTGCTCCTGTCCAGGAGATCAAGCAGACCAAACGCTCTTCACGCCTGCAACAACAAGAAAGCTCCCCCAGAATCGCAAAGCAAACATAACCGCAAAGCAGCCTTTACCATGGATAGTAACAACAGGACCAACCGACGCAGATACAACACCAGCAACAAAAACCACCAGCATTGCATGCACTGCCGACGCCGCTGCACTTACAGCTACTGGTCACTCCAATGCCGCTGCTGTATACAATGCATCATTGCCACCGTCAAGGGCCTTGCCGGCCTGACGCCAGATGACGACGCGGAAATCAGCGAGATGATGACCAGAATGGATTTGAATCACGAGAAGGGGAAAGACTAGCTGCCTGTACTACTGGAATACCAAACTCATTCCCCTCACCTTACAACCCTTTCCCCATCCTCCTCCCTCCCCCGGATCGTCTGTCCGGCCCTCACACCCAACGCCTCCCCTTCATCCACAACAATCGTCCCATTAACCATCACCATCCGGATCCCCTTCGCAGCCTGCTGTGGATTCGCAAACGTCGCGACATCCCGGATCTCTTCCTTGTCGAAAAGCACCAGATCGGCCTTATACCCTTCCTTCACCAACCCTCTATCCTGGACTCGAATCACGGCCGCGGGCCTCGAAGTCAAATGCGCCACCGCCTCTTCCAAGCCCCCCGAAAAGATGGCCTCGGGCTCGACGGCGTTGTAGACCTCGCTCGAGCTAGCATGATAGAGATCCCTCTCCCTGCCCCTTGGGAGGTCCCTCGCGTAATGCCCCAAGTATCTCGGAAACGTGCCCCAACCCCTGGGATGCGGTTTCGTACTCGTCAGAATCCCGTCCGAGCCCCCCGTATGCCGCGCATGTCGCATGATCTTCCTCACATTGCCTTCGTGTCCCGAATGGGAGAGGATCGTACTGTTGAAATGATCCTCGAGCAGGATTTCCACGTACTTGTCGAAGGCGTCTTTCCGCTCCTCGTCTGCGATCTGCTGGATCGTCTTGCCGACGTATCTCTCTTGCAACGCGGCGTTCTGCACGCCGCCGATTTCTAGGAGGGACCAGTGCAGTGTACAGCCATGGCAGCCATCCGTGCCTTCGACCATCGCGGCTCGGCGGATCTGCTCCAAGGTGGCGGGATCGCGCAGGAGAGATGCAGGATCCGGAGCGCCGCCCACCCAGCTCGGGAGCGTCGAGGCCAGAGTCGTCGAACCGGGGAGATAAGGGTACGTATCCAACGAAATCTCCACTCCATCAGCAGCAGCCGCCCGATCGATCAGATCCAACAATTCCTGCGCACGCCCCGCGTTTTCCTCATAATTCATCGTCGCGTGCGTGAGATGTAATCGCACGCCCACCTTCTCGGCCAGGGCAATCATTTCCCCGTAAGCTTGCAACGCCCCCTTCCCGTAGGATCTCGTGTGCGGACAGTAGTACCCTCCGAATTCCCGCACGGTCTCGCAGAGAGTAGCGATTTCCTGGTCGCTGGCAAACATGCCGGGAACGTAGGTGAGGCCGGAACTCATCCCCACGGCGCCCTCTTCGAAGCCTCTGCGCAAGATCTCTTGCATCTGCGCCAGTTCCTCCGAAGTCGCAGGGGAGGAATCCCACCCTTTGACCAAGATCCGCAGATTCCCCTGCGGAACGAGGAAGGCCACGTTCGTCGCGCGACCGCCGTTCGAATCCATGACGTCCAGATATTGCTTCACGGATCTCCATGTGAAGGCCTCCGCATCTGGGAGATCGCCGTTCCACCCTCGGATCTGCTTTCGGATCCTTGCCAGTCCACCACCACCATCATCATCATCATCATCGACAGGCGCATATCCGATTCCGTCTTGCCCGATGACTTCCGTGGTAACGCCCTGCGTGATCTTGGCGAGATGGTCCGGGGTGTGGAGGAGTGACAGGTCGGAATGGGCATGCATGTCGATGAAGCCGGGACAGAGGGAGAATTTTCCCTTCTGACAGTCGATGATCCGGGTGTTTGGAGATGTTGGGATGTCTTGATTGCTGATCTGGGCAATGTGGCCATTTTTGATGAGCACGTTGGCAATGTATGCTGGTTTTGTTCCGGAGCCGTCGACGATGCTTGGTCCCAGAAGGAGGATTTCTTCTTCTGAGGAAGACATTGTGGATGGTGGTGAAGATAACGGAGGAGTGTGAGTGTGAATGGATCTACAAGGAATTGAGCAGTACTTACATCTACGTAGTTCAGCGGGTTGCCTTCAGGGCACGAGAGGTGACATTGCTGTTGGAGCTCGCCGTCGTCGGGCAAGAGATCGGCCTAGCTCCAAGCTTATCGCGGCTTCCCTAGGCAGGGAGTAACAGTCGTCAATACCATATCATTGTTCACCGTTGCCATGCTCACGGTGGAGAAGGTCAAAGAAATGATACATCAGTGCAGGTGGCTCGACAGGCGCATTCGCGCCCGGAGCAGAGAATATAAAGGATTGTATTTGGTTGAAAGTACGTGCAACCCGAACTCGTTCAGAACATCATCTCTCAGAAATCAGTCGAAGATTGCTTCTCTCGCGCATATCAATCAAGCTGCAGCAGCCACGGCCGAGATGGTCTGACGTCTTTCGTTGTCTAGAACCTTCTCAAGCACGCCCTGGGCGCCCTCGTTCTCGATCTCACGGGCGATCTGATCCAAACCGAGCTGGGCATCAGTCCAGAGTGGCTCGACAGCTGGTGCATCCTTCTCACCAACACCGATGAAACCGCCCTCAGCAGCCCAGTCGGATGTGCGCTTCAGGCCAAGCTCGTTCCAGACGCTCTCCATCGACTCGATAAGGTGATCGCGGAATTCCTTGACGTGGCCTGGAGTTGGCGTGATGCGGAGGCGCTCCTGCCCAACCGGCACTGTTGGGTAGTTGATTGCCTGGACGTAGATCTGGTGCTTATCAAGGAGCAAGTCCGAGGCCTTCTTGGCAAGCTCAGCGTTTCCGACCAGGACCGGGACGATGTGCGATGGGTTCGGAATCACAGGAATGTCACGCTCGTTCAGAGACTGCTTCACTGCACGAGTGTGCAACTGCTGGAGACGGCGGTCGCCTTGATAGGCCATTTGATACTCAATCGCGTTCTGTGCGCCCGCCATGGTCGCAGGAGGAAGAGACGTCGTGAAGATAAATCCCGGAGCAAGAGAGCGGATCGTATCAACCATCTTTGCGCTACCAGCGATATAGCCACCAACGCAGCCATAGGCCTTGCCGAGAGTTCCAGTAATGATATCGATCCGGTCCTGGACCGTGCCCTTTCTGTGCATGCCGCTAGCATACGTATCATAGTCCAAATGCTCTGCAACACCAGCACCATTTGGCCCGTACATACCGACGGCATGTACTTCGTCCAAAAAGGTAATGGCTCCATACTTCTCGGCCAGATCGCAGATCTCTCCAATGGGCCCAATGCTTCCACACATGCTGTAGACACTCTCAAAGGCGATGATCTTCGGTACCTCGGCGGGAAGCGAAGCCAGCTTGTTCTCCAAATCCACAGTATCGTTGTGTTTGAACACCATCTTCTTCGCCCCGGAATGGCGGATTCCCTGAATCATCGAAGCGTGGTTCATGCTGTCACTGAGAATGACACAGTTCGGAAACTTGCTTCCCAGTGTTGCCAGAGTCGCATCATTGGCAACGTAGCATGAAGAGAAGACCAAAGCCGCTTCTTTGTCGTGCAATTTCGCACAGGTCTCCTCCAAGCTCATCGCATGCTGGTTGTGGCCAGAAATGTTTCTTGTTCCACCAGCACCCGCACCATACGTATCCAATGTCTCGTGCATCTTCTTCAAAACCTGCGGATTGCGTCCCATGCCGAGGTAGTCGTTTGAACACCATACATCTACACGCTCGTTTCGCTCGGACATATGCGCTCGCGGGAACTCCTGCGCCAGACGATTGATGTTGTTGAAGTAGCGGTACGACTTATCCCTGTGTTTCTTTTCCAGCTCATTCTGATAGAAACCTTCATAATCGAAGCAAGCGGCCTTTGGAGGAGGTGGCGGGGTCGTCAGGTGCTGGTCAACGGGTTGCGCATGCTGGGTCGCAGCAGCGGCGGCGGGAGGAGAGTAGGGGATATGCTCGCGTTGGCGGGGAGGGACATCGACGGCTCGGGCTTCGTTTGGCCTGGAAGTATGCAGGTTGGCGCGTGGGACCTTTGCATGGTAGGCACGGCAGCCGCCAAAAGCACCAGCCAGAGCGGCGTTGCCACTGCGAGCGCTCTGGACGGACAGCGCCTTGCCCATGACGGGGCAGCGGCGAGCAATCATCTGCAGATTGCTCATGGCTCCGCCACCGGGAGCAGCGTGTTGCATGCTGGTGCTCGTGGACATGGTGCGCAGGGTGGCGGGCGAAGTCTTGTTCAAGAATGGGCACATGGCCCTCGATTGGCGGAGAAGGACCTCCATGGTGAATTCGTCGTCAGTCCGGTAGAGTAAGGCAGGCGTAGGAGGTCAATGACAAGGTGAGGGAAAGATGGAGAGTGGAAAACGAGGAGGGAGGGAAGTGTGCGTCGGGCAGAGTCAGAGAAGTCGTCTTGGCTCAAGGATGCAGAAGGCCCGCGGCGCCGTCCCGATCGAGACGGATCTACGTCAATCTCTATGTGGAGAAGCTTCGAACCGGCCGCGATTCAACCAATCAATGCAAATCAATTTGTTGCCGGAAATGCAGCGTCCGTGAAAGAAGCATCTTAAACACACTATCAACACCACCTGCTCGACGGCAAATACGGCTTTTAACCAAAGAGTCGAGTCTGATTGGAGGGTGGGCGACACGACCGAATGACGTTCCCGTAGGAGGCCTGCACGCAGAATTCCACTTCAGAAATAGTGCCTCGGCAGCCGTGGGATGATATAGCACATAGGCGGCTCGCGAATTGACCGATCGACAGTCATGTGAAGGCTGCAAACATAAAATGTTTGTCAACACCGACAGTTCTTCGCCATTGTGATTGAAGGCCTCGTCGACTGTCGTACGTTTGAGATCGTCCGCCATACATCCACGGGCCTTGCGACGCACCTCAGCCCTAACAGGGGTTCGAACAAAATTGTAAGAGGCTGACAGACCCTGGCGTCGACCGCATGGACGGGTCCATCGCCTCGGTAAGCTCGTCGGCTCTTGCCTTTCAAGCCCTCGGAGGGAAATCACATGGTAGACACTACTCTACTCTTCCTCATCTTCGCCTTCAGGATCGGTATCCGGCTCCATTGTCAATGGCGGTAGCTCCATGTCGCTGTCATCGTCGTCGTCGTCGTTGATATCCTCAGCACTTCCTTCACCGGTAATCACGACGCTTTCTTGTGCTGCTGCAGCTGGCTGACTCTGAGCTTCACCGACTACTGTCTCCGGAATAGCACTATGATGTGTTGCTGGATCCGGGCCAGGCAACGTCTGCATGCTGTCTGGCATCAGACTCTCTGCGATAGGCGATGCTCGTATTCGCTTGGCGGGAGGTGTGGTGACAGCATCCTCGTCAGCTCTGCGCTTGCTGCTTGAGATGCGATCCTCCTCGGCCTCGATGGAATCCGCAGGCGTTGCGTCTTGTTCGTCTAGGTTGGACTCGGAAGCTCCGATCAGCATGTCCAGCATTCCTGGAGCCGCAGCGGCTCCCTCTTCTACATCCATCACGTCCTGTCCATCCGCTCTACTCTCAGGCTCGTCTACTTCGTTCTCGCGTCGACCATTCGTTCTTGTGAAAATTGGCGGCATCCTGGGCCTCAACAATGCCTCAGCCTCAGGATCTCGGCCGAATTGTCTAGCTAGAATAGGTAGAAGACTCGCTCGCACACGGGCGTCTTGGGATTTCTTCGGCGGATTCATAATGCTTGCGAGGACCAGAGCTTTTTCATTGGAAAGCACTGCAGTCCGATCGATATTTGCGCGGAGCTTTGGTGGAATACATGCCGAGTCCACTCTCTCCAGGAAAGTACGCAGAAGCTCGCGAGCAACTTCTTGAACATCCGAAAAGTCTGCCGGGTGCGTCGAGCTCATGCCGGAGTCAACGAGGCCAAGGTTCTGTTTGACGCCGCTAGCTGTTCCATTACTTTTCGATGTCGTGTGCGCAGCCATGTCGACTTTGGGAAGGATTTCTTCGCAGCAACTCTTGACGGCTTGGTCAAGCTCAGCAACCTCATCTCGAGACAAAGATGGGCCAATTCGGTCTATGATGAGGGCGAGAAGCTGATAGAGGTTCTTGCGGACGTCGACGTGAGTACCTCCGGATATGAACAGGGCGATAGCCTGATCGAAGAGGTTCTGAGTCCAAGATGAGGCAGCTCTGCGCAAACGCTTGAGCATTGTCGATGCGAGCTGGATGGCAGCTACATGGATCTTTGGCAGATCCGCGAATAAAGCCTCGCGCTCATCCTTCGTTATCTGATTGTTCAGCTTCACGTTCTCCTGCTTCCCAGAAGAAGGCGCTGATATCGCAAAAAGTCTCGACAATAGATCTGAGACGAGACCCACCCGGATAGAGACATTGCTCGTGGTAGCTGTTGCAAGATGAGATTGAAGAAGGCCCAAGAGCGACACTGTCCTTTCGGCGCCAGCGTGGATGCCTTTCCATGGACCGAACCCTGCAGCATCGGCACTTTCACTTTCGACATTTCCACTGGCCCTCAAATGCGCTGGAACGGAGGACTCAATGCCCGCACCTGACTGCCAGTGTTCCTGAACAGCACGGAAGATACGGTCGCAGGTCGAATGTGTTGCGTGCACAACCGACCTAAGTGTCGCATCCCATTTCTCGCTCGCGCCTTGCTTGGGCGTGCAGTGATGCAGCAAGACATACACGCGATGTGCGGCATCTCTCTGTGCCTCCGTGTAGTGAAAGGAAGTGTTGGGATCGGAAGTAGTCGCGGAGAGAACTCTGGTCAAGATGGAGCGCAGTTTTGATTCATTAGTTCGAAATATGGTCGGATGTCTAGGCAAGAGAGTGGCGAATGCTTCCAAGATATTCTGAAATTCGCTGGTAGAGCAGCGCTTGTTCTCCAGATTGGCCAAGCAAGTTGGAACGAAGGCAGTCAAAGCCGGCGTAGTGATCTCACGCACGAGATTCGAATGGTCCCATGTGAGGACAAAGATCCTCGTCAGAGTAATAACAGCCAGGTTGCGTGTTGTTGGAGGATCCGGCTTCTTCAATATGCCGAGCAGGTTGCGAACCCACGGATTGGACTTTGCAAGCACCTCCGAGCCTCCGGCTTCGATAGTGGCCTTCAATAGTACGATAGCTGCCCATCTTCCTTCGACGGTCCGGTCCTGGAGTAAGGTCGAGAGCTGCGTCTTGAATCGGTGCACTGTAGTTGATGCATCGCCGGCCTGTTTGGCGTCCGATGGGGAGGAGAGAAGATCTCTGCAGCTCCAGATGGATCCAGCGATTTGAGCAGCTACGCCAGGAAGCTGCTTTGGTGGAGTTGAGGTCAGGCGGAAGATCAGAGCGCGCAGCTGTCCAACAGATGCTGCAGTCTGCTGGGCCATTCCTGCCGGATTGTTCTTCCCCCTTTGCTTGAAAGATTTGATCTTGATACAAATCTTCAATCCAAATCTAATAATGGATAAATCTAGCGGGAAGAGACACCGAGCGGGCCGAGCCGAAGAGCGTGCCGTCCTCATTCGCTCACAAGCTTCACGTTGTCGGGGGTGCGTCGCTACGTAACTTGACTTGGGAATCTTGCTTCTTGTACGACTGTACGACACCTTCCTTTGAGATTGCATCCTGAAAGCAAGGAACGGAGTTCTGGATCTATCACCTCGCCATGGACCTGGTATAGCAAAAGCAACGGAGTCGAGAGCAGCGCAATGAGTGTCCACGGGAAAGCGCCTAACCCTGAGAAGGGCGCTCGATATCTGGCCTCATTAGACCAGGCGCTGTGCAATGCGAACTGGGCTGAGGTTCCGGAATTGGCGCGGAAGGTGGACAAGCACGCTCCGGAGAGAAAGTGTAAGCAGATTCAATGACAATTCCAAGTAACCCCTTGATCAGGAACACGTACTAACAGTGCATCGTTCTGTAGGCCTTACTCTCGCCGCACGTACCGAGTGTCACGTCGCCAATGCCTCTCATCGTCCCACCTCCGCATCTTCGGCGACCGCGACGAGCATACACGGCCTGGGAGAACAAGTCAAGCCTCTGAGTGATTGTGTTAAATCAGCAGAGCCCAGGCACCCAGACGATGCGTACATTGCGAGCATATGCTTAGCGGAAATACATTGGCTGAGGGAAGAGCCTGTGGAAGCGCTCAATGTCTTGGCCGTAGCCCAAGTGTCGACGACGGGGAAGGGGGCATCTGGACCGCTGGGCTGGTTGGAGGTCTGCGCTGTGAAGGCCAACTTCATTCGCGCGTCGTGCCTGGATTCTAGCGGCCGCCAGATGGACGCACGGGAAGCATACAAGTCAGCAGTCTCCTCTACTCCGGGATATCGAACGCCCGAACTGCGAATATGGACAGAAAGATTGCTAGCTAGGGCATGCATGTACAGTGTGAAGAAGATGCCTTCGCCTTCTCTGGAGGATTTTGGAGAGACGTACTCAGCTTTCAGTGCTTGGGGAGAGTTCTGGCAACGAGCATCTTCTGCCCCAGCTGGTAGCAACCCGGGATCCACGCTTCTAGACATTCCGCGGCGGCAAGTTTGGAAGGCGTACTACGACCTCCTCTCGACCATACTGGAGCATAGGCTACTGTGTATCATACAGCCGAATTCTGGTCCCTCGATACTGCCTAGCGCCAACGTACCCACTTCTCAGCACCTCGTCGCGAAGCAGCGTCAGAGAACTGAAATAAAACGAGTGGAGGCCACGTATGAGTCTTTCCTTCTCCAAGAGACTCAATTCCCCAAGTCCAGCCAGACCAACATCGAGGTCGAGGAGTGGGCGGAGCAGGTCATGCGTAACTGGCGAATCTTTTCTGGGTCAGACTGGACCGATGCTGATCTGGGCGATGGCGGGAAAAGAGGCGTGTCACGAGCTACGCTTGGTATACTGTATCGTGCTGCCACCAAGACCTTTCACTCGACGCCAATCTTAAGACACCTCTTTACTGTACATGCTGCGCGAGGAGAATTCGACCTCGCAATGCATGCCTTTGACAGCTATATGGAAATTATCAACAAGGGTAAAGCTCGGGCCGAGAAGACTGGCAAACACGAGATTGGATTCGACAGCGACGACACTGCCATGCTTACCGCAGCTAACGCAGTCCGCTTTCTGTGCCGCTATGGAGATCGAGACCACGCAGAAAAGGCGATCGAGATCACCAAATCAATGCAGAAATGGATGGAACAGCAACGGCCAAGTACGGCCCAAAGTACACAAACGAATGGCGAAAAGGGTGACGGCGAAAGCCGATCTTCAAGCCAACCTACCTCTGCATTGTTGAAATCCACCACTTTGGCAGCGGCCTATAGAGCATCAGGGATCGCACAGGCTCGCTGGGCGCAACTGACTTATGAATCGGAAAGCCGATCATCGTTGCTGGCGGAAGCAAACAACAACATTCAACGAGCCTTGAAGCTCAATCCCGACAGTCTTGAGACCGCGCACGCTCTGGCACTTGTACTAGCTGAGATGCGCGACCTAGCTGGGGCGCTTGAAGTTATTCGATCTACAATCGAGACCAAAGATCCAGCGGCGACAGTAAATGGTGACGCATTCGTGTCATCTTCTCTCGATCGGCAGCGGCGTCTGATCCCTCTTTGGCACCTGCTTGCCCTCTGTCTAAGCGCCGAAGACCAATTCGATGCTGCATCTCGCATGTGCGAGGCAGCTTTTAAACAGTTTGGCGATCCGCGGGTACTTTTTGGCTCCACAGGTGACGCTGCAACGACCGATTCGTCAAATGCACGAGGCCTGGTCGATCAAATGGAGAGTCTCGAGAAGGAGAGCTTGCTCCAGATCAAAATGACCCAAATCATCCTCTTTGAGCTTGTGGAAGGTGCTGATGAAGCAGTCGACCTTACAGACGAGCTCTTGAGCCTTTACGCAAGACTCTTCGGCAAGCCTGAACATGTCGTGGCGGAGATTACATCAAAACCACCCCAGACTGCGTCTTCTCAGGTGCCCTCAAGGCTAGGAGGAACGCTGAGAAGTATTACCGGCAGCATTCGACCCAGATCAGCAAGATCAAGCAGATCTACGCGCAGTAACAATGGAAAAGACACGCCCAGGCAGCCGTCTGTGATATCCGACGATGGCGCTACAGCAGCGCCTACAACCAACGGGACGCAGACTATCCCGAATGATCAGAATATCGGCCCACCTATCTCGATCACGGTGACAAATGAGGATGGTGTACAGTCAGAGAAGCCTCAACATCGTCATCATCATCTTCCTCAGCTGCCATTTCAGAAGCGCGGCCGCAGTCGCAGTGCCGGGCCAAGACATCGTGCTCCAAGTATTGCTGAAGAGGGCCCAAACGCACAGATTAATGAGAAGGCCGCTGCGGCCGGGCCCGACCCTGCGAAAGCTGTCGCAGAAGCCAAGTCAAAGCCCGACCAACCCATGAGCAATGTCGCGCACAACGTGGGCCCCAATGAATTACCTCCACCAGCTGGCCATTCCCATCAACCGCCTCTCCAAGACGTCCGCCTGCCGGCACCACACCCCGCCTCAGCCTCCGCTATGCCCGAGCTTCATCTATCATCTTCATACGATCGCCGGCATAAGGTGACCGTCCTAGTGAACGCATACCTGTTCAGCGCCGAGCTGTACATACGGGCCGACACATATGACGATGCTGACAACTTGATCAACGCCGCCGTCAAACTAATCGAGTCTCTTGAGCAGGAACTGGCAGCTTTTAACGAGCCGACCAATGCTCGCACGCTGTTCGTGAAAGGCTGGGGCAATGGGAAGAGCATCGACGGGCTGTGGGCTGATGTCTGGGCGACGGTGAGTACATGCTTCTGACAATTTTGCACCGCCGTTTGGCTAATAGTTCATCAGAAAGCACATCTTGCATCCGCCCGTCAACGGCCCCACGAAGCCGTGGCGTCGTTTGAGCAAACTCTTTCACACTACCCCGATCATCCTGGTGGGATTATCGGCCTCTCTGACCTACTCATGGACATCTACGAAGAGAAGCTTCCGGCTGAAGAGCCAACAGCTCCAACACACGCCGTGCCAGCGGCTCCGGCTCCGACCTCACTCATCAAAGAAGCTCGTCCAACACTGGCAAGACCTGGCACATCTACAACACTTCCGTCGAGGCGCACCTCCACAGTCGTTGAACCCGAGCCGATCGAAATGAAGGAGAGAAAGGTCGATCCTTCGCCGGAGGAACTGAATCGACTCGCCGCGCGAGACAGGGCTTACATGCTTCTGTCGAACCTCACGAAGCAAGGGGCTGGTTGGGACGATTCTGAAGCATGGTATACACTCGCCCGCGCTCACGAGCTGAGTCGCGAAATTGGCAAGGCTAAGCAAGCTTTGTGGTGGGTTGTCGAACTAGAGCAAAACCGTTCCATCCGGCCGTTGAAAGAAGTGTTTCCGGGAGGATATACCCTTTAATGATGGCATCTGCGCGCGATTGGACATTTAAAGTGCTCGTGCAGATGTTTTATATACGTACACTTCGATTGATACCCTCGGGAACGTAGCCAGGTTTCCACTGGCTTGTAACGATCGATACCATTGGGAAAGAATATTTTAGAATTATTGACATGGTACTGCAGAGAACAATCGAGAGAGATACACGTGACTGCGCATCGCCGCCTATCTGGAATTGCTCTTTGCCACGAAGTCACATCGAAGACGCTAAACCACGAAACAGAGATCGACGGCGAGTTTGAGGGAAAATATCAGCGACGCTCTGCTTCCGAGTCGGCTCTGTCGACTAAGAAGTGGACTTTGTTGCCATCGTCTGGTTTCTCAACATCTCAAGAAGGCACTATTAACAAAGACATCAACCCATCGCAATATGAATATCAAGCAATAGGTGCTGGACGTGCTCAGAGCGGCGAAGTTGACGGCCGTGTTAATTCTCCTGACCTTCGCGGCCGCACGAACAAGTTGCCAACCGCGACCCTGCACGATTTCAATACATCAAACATGAAGGCACCACTTTCTGGACCTGGGACTGTGACCAGTACCGCTCTCCAAATTTGAGGGACATGCTAATAATTCGAGGGTATAGGTACCTGCGACGGTGGGTGTGCCTGTGCATGGTGGGAGTGGAATTTACTGTCAGCCTGAGGGGAGTCCGGTTACGAGAGGAAGGGGAAATGCGATTTGATCCACGCAGTTAGCTTTTCATCATCGGCTGGTGAGGTTTGATCAGAATGGGTTGGTGTTCTGAGAGCGTATCTCGGAGTAGAGCGTACATCCTTCTCGAAAGGCCCTCAAAACACCCGCCGATAGTCAGGCTGCGATTCAGCCGCCTGCTTCAACGAACCGGATAAGCCTCCTGCATCTTCTTTCCGCCACCTTTAGCCGCCCTCCGATAAATGGCTGGTTTCGGCCTCGTACCTGACGATCCGCATCCTTCTGCCAGGATCTCTGGCAGGCGATGGCGTCAGTATAACCTGCAGTTCGCGCCTGGAAAGCGGCACCCACGCGAAGGCTCTCTCGGGTCGGCCGAGTCGGCCGAGTTGTTGCATATGCAGAAGCTGGAGTTGACTCATCCAATTTTTCGCCACAATGCTATGTGGATTAGGCAACGAACGCAATACCTTACTTACCCGCCGCCTCAAGAAAAGCGACTTGCATTGGCTGTCGCTCAGGATCTAGATTTCTGGAGTCATCCAAGGTGGCGTTGATTATTATTAATGTGATATAAATATATATATCATTCACTTCGTTCCTTCCTCGTTTGGACGTCCGACGTCATACCTCCTCCCACCATTTTCGTCCGCGACATCTTTTCAGCCGAGTATTTGCCTGGCGAGGAACTACAGAACCGGCTGGACAGGAGTGGAGACGGTACACTCACCAACGAAGAAGAAGAATAGAATTGGCAAGATGGATTTCCGCCGTCTCACCAAGGCTCTCCCGACGACACAGCTCGAAGCAGGCGGCAACAACAGCACGGAAACTCTCGACATCACGAATTTGCCCTCCAACATCCTCGAAGCGCTGATCCCAGGCTACGGCCTCATCTCCCGCTCCATCGCGAGTACTTTCGGCATCGACATTTCCATCTTCGTCTCCATCGGCCTCATTCTCTTCGCGCTGGTCAGGGGAGGACAGTACCTCTTCGGCGTGGCGGAGAATGTCTTCCGCGATGTCTTCATGGCGTCGGTCTATATTGACGAACACGACGATCTCTTCGACATGGTGATGGGCTGGTTGGCGGAGCATCAGGGCGCCGAGTCGCGGAGGAGTGTACGCGCGAAGACGCAGTATGGTGCTCGGGAGGGGAAGGGAGGGCTGGATGACGGGGCGGTAGGCGATGCGTTGGGCGAGAACGGGCTGTTTGATTATAATAAATGGTCTGCTCGCACGCCGCCGCGGTTTGAGCCTTACTATGGAAGACATATGCTTTGGCATGGAGGGCGACTGTTTTTCTTCAGACGGTCGCAACGACCGGCGAATGGGCAGCGGGTACAGGTTTCCTTTGGGAGCACGAAGGAAGACGATGTGATACAGCTGGATTGTATCGGTCGTAGCACTGAGCCGATTCGAGAATTACTGCGGACGATCAAGATATGGTCTCTGGATCGTCTGAGGAATACGACAACGATTCGCCACCCTACGCCGAAAGATCGAGGGAGGTGGGCTGGTGCTTGGAGTAAGACGACGAGTCGACCTTCGAGACCGATGGAGACGGTGATTCTGGATTCTGAGCAGAAGAAGATGATCATTAAGGATATGAACGAGTATCTCCATCCCAGTTCGCCGAAGTGGTATGCGACCAGGGGGATTCCGTATCGCAGGGGGTACCTTTTCCATGGACCGCCAGGGACGGGCAAGACGAGCCTGAGCTTTGCTCTGGCGGGTATCTTCGGGTTGGAGATATACGCCATTTCGTTGCAGGAGCCGACGCTGAGCGAGGGAGACTTGATGCAGCTGTTCAATGGACTGCCGAGGAGATGCATTGTGTTGCTGGAGGATGTGGATGCTGCCGGGTTGTTGCGAGATGGCAAGAGTGGGAGCGATGAAAAGGCCGGGAAGAAGAAAGGCAAAGACGGCAAGAGGGAAGAGAAGAAGATCGAGAAGAAGGGGGAAACCGAGAAAGACGACAAGAAGCAAGAAAAGCCAAAGAAAGACGAAGACTACACGCTCAAAGACCTAGCGAAAGAACTCAAGTCCATCAGCGCACCCTCGAGAGGCGGTAGAGGGGGCAACGCAGCACAAGGTGGCCACCCGAACAGAGAAGCAGGAGCTGGAATCTCCCTCTCCGGTCTTCTGAACGCGATAGACGGTGTGGCAACCCACGAAGGACGCTGCCTCATCATGACCACCAACCTTCCAGAGAAACTCGACGCCGCGCTCGTCCGTCCCGGCCGCGTGGATCGCAAAGTAGCCTTCAAGCTCGCCATGAAAGACCAGATCAGCGAACTCTTCGTGCGAATGTACGCCGCCACAGACCAAGTCCCCGAATTCGAGCCCAAGATCAAAGTCAGCGACAAACCGACGACGAATGGGTACACGAATGGTCATCGTGCTGAGGAGAACCAGCTCACGGGCCTGAGGGAGGGAGACTTGGAATTGCTGTCGTTGGAGTTTGCACGGTGTATCCCTGATGATACGTTTACCCCTGCGGAGATCCAGAATCATCTGATGCGGTATAAGAAGCAGCCGAGGACTGCTGTTGAGGAGGCGAAAGAGTGGGCGGAGGAGCTTCTTGCTGAGAAAGAAAAAGAGGCAGAGGAGAAGGCGGAAGCTGCTGAGGACGAGGAGGAAGGTGAGGATTGATATTGATCATGTGTCGTAGCAGGTTGTATGGAACAAGGTTCTTTGTCTTGCAGGGGAGAGAATGTGAAGGCAAGGAAGGTTATCTGTAAGCTTATTATACATTCCGATTCCGTGCCAAGACCTGTTACGATGTACGAGAATATACGGACATTTCGGTATCGGATTCGGTTCTTGATCTCTCCACATATGACAGCAACAATTGGTCCGCTCGCTTGGGCCGGCAACCGAGTCGACGACGACGCTGGTACCTTAGTGACTTTAATCACGCAAACAGTGCTGTGAGTGTGCTGCTAGTATAGCTTATAAGTTACATTCGCTCCTCGCTCCCGGTTCGCTTCGCCACTCTCATCAGCTCAGCTCAGCTCCTTCCCACGACCTGTTGGGCCATCGCCATTCGTCCAAGAATCCAATGCTCTAACAGCGGTGACGGGGATGCCACATGTCGCCTCGCAGCTGACGCATCATCTAGCCTGAATCCTCTTTATACATCAGCATCCTTAGAACCGCTTCTGACCAACGCCTCTCGCCCTTTCACCTCGTCCTCGCCATTCCCTACCAGGCGCCACCATCATGGCTCTCCTGGATAATGCCGATGGAAACATGTTACAAATATCCATCCTTTTGGGCGCGATCCTCGGCGCAGCAAGTCTTCTGGTCTATCTCTTTTCGCGACCCTCGTTTCCAAAGGATGCGCCCCGCCTGACCAGCGATTCGTGGCCGATCCTGGGCTCTCCAACCTTCTTCTCGAAGCGCTGGGAGTTCTTCCGCGATGCTGTAGCTCGTTCCAAGACGGGCAACTTTTCTTTCTACGTCGGACAGTTACCCGTGATTGGCCTTTGGGGCCAGGAGGAACGGAAGCTGTTCTTCGAGCATCGAGGTCTGAACTTTGGGGAGGGATATGGTGCGCTGTTTGCCGCTGCTCCCGAGGTCAAGCGGGACAACAATCCGCTCGGCAAGGACGAGACACGCGGCGATGATTTCAACAATTATTTCCAGAGACGCCTCGTGGCGCTGCTCAAGGGACCGGTGTTGAAGAGGAACCTACCGACCTTGCTGAAGGATGCCCGCGCCAATCTGGACTCTCTAGGATCATCGGGGACCACGGACCCGTTCGATAGCATCTATCGTATGGTCTTCCAATTCACCATGCGGACTGTGGCCTGTAACGAAATCGCCGATGATCCGCCGTTGCTATCCAGGTGCCTCAGTCTCTACGAAACTGTAGAGAACGCCGCCGACCAGTGGATGATCATGTTCCCATGGATGCCTTTGCTCTCCAAAGCACGACGCACATATGCCAGCGCGCAGCTATACATGATCTTCAAGAAAGTCGTCGATGACCGGAAGCGGCACGGTCGACACGAGGAAGACGCATTGCAGTTCTTGATCGATCAAGGCGACGACCTCACCAAAATCATCACGTTTGTGCTCGGTTCGCTTTTCGCCGGACAGCTCAATTCCGGGATCAACGCCGCTTACATTCTGTGTTACCTCGCGAAGCACCCGGACTGGATCGAGCGAGTGAGGGAAGAAGTGACGGATGTGGCGGACAAGTACTGCTCGGATCAATCTCTCCCGCTCAAAGATCGCCTGATGCAGGTCCCGATCGAAGCTTGGGAGGGCGAATTCCCCATGATCGATCTGTGTTTGAAAGATACCATCCGACTTCAGATGGCAGGAGCATCATTTCGGAAGAACACCTCGGGCCATGCTATCCCTCTGAAGAACGGAGAAGTCATTCCACCCGGAGCGTACGTGGCCTATCATGTGAACGAGCTCCACCGGAACCCAGAAATCTACGCCGACGTGGACAAGTGGGATCCAGCACGATACCTGCCCGAGCGAGCGGAGGATAAGAAGCAGCAATACGCTTGGATGGGATGGGGTAAGCTCAACAAAGCAAAGAAGAAAAAAACGCCCTTCGATGGTCACCAACTAACATGATGGAAAATCAGGTCTCGCGCGACATCCCTGCCTCGGCATGCGCTTCGCGAAGCTGGAAAACAACCTCATCGTCGCCATGTTCGTCGCCTATTTCCACGACGTTTACGTTTCCGACCGCTACGGGAACCCGGCGGAAATCCCTCCCCCGAACGAGAATAACCTCACGGCTCATAAGCCGGATACTCCGGTCTATCTGACCTACAAAGCTTGAGATCGTAAATGCATCATGACTGGGGGCATTGTGTTTTTGAGATCAAGAATTGCGAAGGGGCTGGAAGATGTTATGTCGAGATGGAAAGCGGCAGTCTCATCTGTCTTAAGAGTACCAGAAGGGACAGATACCAAAGCGGAAGTATGAAGTCGTGAATTGACTGTCGAGAAGTACTAACTACAAGTGGGTGAATCGAAAGCCTGGTAGGTTTTCCATTTCTCAGGCGGGACTGGCTTTCAAGCCCATTTGCGTGCGTAGTCGCTCTCGCCTCGCTACCTCGCTGCCCGTCTTCCCGGTGTCGAGGTGGGTGAGCAGGTCGTTGATTTGGACCACTGATATCAATTAGCAAGTGGGGAATCGGGTATGTCTGGGTGCCTTCCTTACACGTGAGCTTGGCGATGTCTTTGGGCGTGTCGGGAAACTTGTCAAGTGGCTTGCTTGTCTTCAGGGAGACCATGGGTGTCAAGGCTTCATCGGCGCTGGTGATGTGGCTGTTTGCTACTCGGGCGACGCTGTTGGTGTTGCTGGTGGGGGTTCGTCAGCATCATCATCATTACCAGGCAGAAGTTGTTGAGGTGTCAGGCATACATGGCCGTCAGTTTGGCTTCAAGCTTCTCTATAGCTTTGACAGTATCTTCAATGGCGGTTGCGGCGGCGCTGTCTCCTGTCAACGATTCGGCCGACTTTTTGGCCGCTGGCACGGCTGCTGGCTTCCGGGGGACCGCCTTGGGCGTTGGAGTCTTATTAGGAGCTTGCGCCTGAGCCTGCGCTTGAGCAGGCGGGGGAGTCTTGATCTGTGTAGCAGACATGCCGGGCGGAATCTAGCATATAACCTGGAAGTCCTAGATGATAATTCAGAGGTTACACACCATCCCCGGGACTTCGGCTCCGCTCAGTGCTTTATAGGCGAGATCAGGCGCTCCATGGCTTCTGACGCAATGTCCAAGTTTCGTGAGTTTCGTCATCTGGTGAGGTCTGAAACTGCCACGTGACTCGATTGGATTGATCGCCTGAGTTGGGAGGGACTCGCATTGCTGTGTTGTGTCGTATCACATGAGTAGCGCTGAAACTGGAGGTTGTGGTTGGCTTTCGGCGCTTGACCGGGATCGGGATCGGGATCTCGTGCAGCTCGGGCCGATGATCCGCTCACGAGGCAACCAACGACCCGTCACCCGTCATCCGTCACACGTCTCTCGAGCTCTCCCCAAGGAAACACCACATCTTACCTCAACACTTCACACTCCACCTCCTCAATCCCCATTCTAGACCAGTGCTCATCCCGCATCGTCCTCGACCCGTTCCATACGTCCACGATCCAGCAAACATGGTCCGCAACTCCGCCTCCATGCACTCCCTCCGAAGCAGCATGGCCGATTGCAGCATCTCGTCGGAAGAGAGACAGCAGCAACCCGAGCTGCACCAAGCAGAAGAACAGTCTCCCCTCAAACGTCTCGGCGGCCCCTCAATGCAGCTCTGTGGCCAAGATGCCGCTACCAAGGCCCTCATGACAAAAGTAGCCACCGGCCAGGCTACCGAAGACGAACAGGCTGCTTTCAACATGCATATCAACCAGGCCCGGAGCTCGCCTTCGATCCGCAGCATGATCCAGCCTAAAATCCCCAATGCTTCCTCCCACGACGCCTCGTCCAACGCGCGCTTGCCGTACGATCCCACATCCGTCGTCCGACGCTCCGATCACAGCCTGGATGAAGCCGCGCAGGAAAGCGAGAGGGCTTTGGCAGAGCTTCTGTATAAGAAAGATCAGCTGGACAATGCCATCAAGAGCACGCAAGCGCGGATGCAGCATCCTTCGACCAAGGAAACTCCGAAAATGGCTACGAAATTGAAGAAGGAAGACATCCCGCCACTCGCGCTCCAGGATATACAAATGCAGCTAGCACTGCTGAGGCAGCACGCCAAGAAGAGACTTCAACCACCTCACAATCGGCAGGAACCTGCTCTACGATACGTGGACGAGGAACATGACTTCAAGCAGTACCTTGCGCAATTAGAGGATCGTAGCGAGAGAGAGGCTGCTGAGGCTGCGAACCGCTTCAAGCAGGCTACACGTCAGAACGCTGCCGTCTACACGAAACCTTTCTGCGACTTCTTGACCGAAAATCCGACCGTCTTCCACGCTGTATCGGCCATGAAACAACAGCTGCTCGATGCTGGCTTTACCGCACTGTCAGAACGTGATGCGTGGGAACTCGAGCGTGGTGGAGCTTACTTTGTAGAACGCAATGGATCCTCTTTGATCGCCTTTGTGGTCGGGGCAGGTTACGAGCCTGGCAATGGAGCAGCCATTCTCGCCGGGCACGTGGACGCTTTGACGGCGAAGCTCAAGCCCATCTCGCAAGTGCCTAACAAGGCCGGATATCTGCAGTTGGGAATCGCACCGTATGCTGGGGCTTTGAATAAGACTTGGTGGGACCGTGATCTCGGGGTCGGCGGTCGGGTTCATGTCAAGGAAGGCGACAAGATTGTCACCAAGCTTGTGAAGCTCGACTGGCCCATCGCTAAGATTCCAACGCTAGCTGAGCACTTTGGTGCGGCGGCGCAAGGGCCTTACAACAAGGAAACACAGATGGTGCCCATTATCGGACTTGACAGTACCAACAGTTTCGCTGATTCGGCCTACGCTCCAGATGGCTTCAGCCAGCCTCCGCTGCTTGGCAGCGCAGAAGGACCTGTCTCTAGCTTCATTAGGACACAGCCTCCGGCGCTTGTCAAGGCCATCAGCGACGCACTTGGTCTGGAGAGCACTACCGGTGGCGCTTCCAACATTGTCAACTGGGAGTTGGAACTTTTCGACGTTCAACCCGCCACCGTCGCGGGCCTGAACAAGGAGCTCATCTCCGCGGGTCGCATCGATGACAAGCTCTGCTCATGGGCAGCCTTGCAGGCCCTTGTTGAGAGTCACGAGCACGACACTAGCAACAGCTCCCTGATCAAGGTCGTCGGTCTGTTTGACGATGAAGAGATCGGCTCGCTCTTGCGTCAGGGTGCCAAAGGAAATTTCCTACCAATGACCATTGAGCGTGCCGTCAGTTCGTTGGCGGGCAAAAGCAGCACTGAACTGGTGGGGAGAACATATGCGAACTCGTTCATGGTGTCGTCTGATGTCACGCATGCGGTCAATCCCAACTTCCTCAACGCTTACCTGGAGAATCATGCTCCACATCTGAACGTGGGCGTTGCCATTGCTGCAGATTCCAATGGCCATATGACCACGGATTCAGTCTCTACGTCTATCCTCAAACGCTGCGCCGATAAAGTGGGAGCGCAACTTCAGGTCTTCCAGATCAGAAACGACAGTCACTCCGGAGGCACCGTGGGCCCCATGCTGTCTTCGGCCATGGGTGTCCGCGCTATAGATGCCGGGCTCGCCCAGCTCAGCATGCATTCTATCCGTGCTACGACGGGTGCTCTGGATCCTGGTCTCGGAGTTCTCACGTTCCTGGGTTTCTTGAATGGATTTGAGAGCGTCGATAAGGAGTTTCAAGATTCCTAGGTGCGCGAGAGGAGAACACATCCCTACTACAACGATGATATACGATACCCAAGTAATATACTAGATGCATCCGTTATCATTGCTCCCCTCTTCCATGTCGCGATCGAATTTGGCCCTCCTCCGATCATCAATGGAGTACTTCGGCGGCGTATCTTTCATCATCTCGTTCCTCACGAATCGCAGTTTCCTCTCGTCGTAATCTTTCAATATTCTCGCCTAAAGCATGAATTGTCAATATCCACTCCTTGGGGGAAAGAAAGTAAGAAGAAGAACTCTCCCCCCAACCACTCACATTAACAACACGGTTTGTGCTGAGGTGGTGTTGGATTGTTGTTGTAGTGAAAACGCCATATTTTGGTTATGTTGCTGGGGTGCAAGTAATAGGGGAGATCTTGGTGGGTCTTTGGACATGAGATGGAGATTTAGGTAGAGAACTAGCTACATGGAGCAGCTGATAGAGATTCTCTAGCGCAGCCACAGGGTCTGTCTCTATCTGAACGCGATAATCTCATAATTTTCATTGGGCCTATCAAATCTTTCGGAGTCGCATGCTTGACTCTCTCGGACGTAGTGTGTGCGCATGTGACAATTTGGGGAAGCGAATTAGCATGTCAGCGAGTAGCGCTTGGCGTGCCAAGGTTGGCAGCTTCGTTGCTACTTTCTTTGATTATGTTGTGCCCTCTTTTGTGGGATGGCGTGTGTGTACGTGTAGGAGCTATGTGTTGAAGTGAGGTCCGTCGCGAATCCTTGTGATTGTTGCAGCAACACGTCATGGCAACCAACAGCAAATCACGCGTCAGGAATGATATCACGCTCTGTCTTGATCCTCATCACGTTCCTGATACAATGGATTTACAATGCACTTTCACCGACAGATAAACATATATATCTATTCGGTAGGCAGAATTAGCGAAGAGGCATGATGTCTTTAAGCCCCGTCGACGCTGCGACTGCGGGCAGCTCGCTGCTGCTGCGGCTATGTGCCTGGGTCTTCTTGAGATGGGTAAACAAACCTTACTCGCCTTTTGCGCCGGCAGCGTCAGTACAGTACACGGGCTAATGAGTCTTCCTGTAGATACCTGGTCACGTCAGTATAGCCTTGAGCCCTCACATCGTATCGATCCGGGCTCACGTCGATTAGCACTTCCCTCCCCTCATCTACACCTTCCTCGCGATTTACATTCCGGCCTTCTACTACTCATCTACCCGCACGAGTCCATACGAGATTGTTGATACAGTCGCCATCACACAAGTCGAGACCGTCCCCGAAGACGCTCAGGATGTCGATCCTCGCTATGCGAATGGAGTGGATGCACAGGAGCCAGGCAAAGAGCTCGTCGTAGAGGAAGAGATCGACATTGAACAGAAAGATCCACAAATACTCAAGACGCTGTTGACTGGTCTGCCGAGTCCCACAAGTTCCTTATGGAGCGCAGTCACGCTCCTCGCCAACGTCGCGCTGGTCGCTATGACCCTCGACTTGGTCTATCGCACTACCTTCTTCCACCCTTCACATGATCTGTCCATGGCTCGTGTTGGCTACGTTTCCGATACCACGGCCAAGATCTTGGTGAGAGAACCCGATGCACATCAGTTCCCCGTGTTTGTATCATATCGATACGACGATGGTCCCCTCGGAGCGATCCCTGGTGCTGTTCGACCGGACGATGCCTGGAAAGCAGGAGGCCAAATCGACTGGATGGATAATCGAACGGACTTCACCGGAACTTTTACTTTGACGGGCTTGAAAGCTGATACCAGATACCAGTACGTTGTGAGCAACAGCCATACAGGCCATTTCACGACAGCGCCTAGGATGGGACAGATCTCGACCAGAGCTTCTCATGCGAATCAATTTACCTTTGTACATTCTTCTTGCATCAAGCTCAATTTTCCGTACAATCCGCTGCGCCACCCTCTTGCCGCTCCAGGACTGAAGCATCTGGCTTATGCTCTCGAGGGGTTGAGAGCCCAGTTCATGGTCTTTCTGGGCGATTTCATTTACATCGACGTGCCACAGCGCATGGGTGCAACTATGGAGGACTACCGTCGGGAATACAGACAAGTCTACGCGAGCCCAGATTGGCCGGCTGCATCTCGAGACCTGCCATGGATACATGTGTACGACGACCACGAGATTCAGAACGATTGGGACGGCAACACGACCAGCGTCTTTCCGGCCGCCAACGAGCCTTACGAGCAATATCACATCTCCGTCAACCCACCTGCTCACCGGAAAGGCGAGACTTACTTCTCCTTCACGCAAGGTCCGGCGACGTTTTTCATGCTTGATACTCGCCGTTACCGCTCTCCCAACGATAAAACAAACGGCTCAGATCCCATCACTGGCGAGCCTACCAAGACCATGCTCGGCGCTCAGCAGCTGTCTGACCTCCTGGCTTGGCTCAAGCGGCCGGAGCCTGCTGGTGTAAAGTGGAAAATTGTAATTTCTTCGGTACCTTTCACCAAGAACTGGTGGTTCGGTGCCCAGGACACTTGGCGCGGCTATCTTGGTGAGCGGCAAATCATACTCGAGGCCATGTGGGATGTCGGTCTCCGCGGTGGCATCGGCGTTGTTGTCCTCTCGGGAGACAGACACGAGTTTGCCGCCACAGCCTTTCCACCGCCACCGGAAGGCAAAGAAGAAATCATCGGCCTCGGACCCATGGGCGTCGGAGCCAAGCCTCTCGCGATCAAAGGCGCAGCAGAAGCGATTCTGACACCGGAGGAAAAGCCTGCACTCCGGACCAGACGCAAGAAATGGCCACTCAGCGCTACCGTGCATGAGTTCAGCGTCTCGCCTCTGAACATGTTCTATCTCCCCATCAGGACGTACAGCGAGCAGTCAACGAGCGAGGAGTACGTGAGCGATATCTGCATCAAGTATCTGCCCGATGGCAATAGCAAGTTTGGAGCTGTTAGCATTGAGAATCCGAGTACCAGCGACCAGAGTATTCTGCGGTACAAGCTTTTCGTCGACGGCGTGGAGGCTTGGAGTTATATGCTCACCACGCCGCCTGCGGTGGGAGGAAGTGGGAGGAACAAGGTACGTGTGCGATTCTGATTTGGCGAGTCTATACTGACAGTACGAGCAGGACGCGATCTGGGGCTGAGTTATGACAGTGGTAAAGACGTTACATTCAGCGAGATACCCATTCAACTTGTTCGCGAGCAAGCTTCGTCAGCGATTCCAGATGCAATTGCTTTGTGTCTTGGGATGAATGTTACCACGAGTACAAGATCGCCTCAAGAGATTTTCCACCTTGCAACTAGCATCAAGTACAATACTTGTGCGGCATGAAGAATGAAGAGCAGCCGGATGGAAGTATCAAAGGGTAGTCCGCATGTCCTGCCTGAGGAAGGAGGGATGATGGTAGCCGTGGTAAGTGAAATTGCAACATTCGTGGACGCCAGCATTGCTCGCGCCTGCGGGTCGTCTATAACGACGACACAGATGACGAGTCCGATCGTCCATGTCGCCACGCACATTGGTAGGTTAGGCGTGCAAAAAGTCAAAAAACATACAGCACGAGGGATTCTCGACTGGTCACCCACGTCAATACTAATCTCGCGGTCGAATGGTTATCTTTGGAAGAGCGGACGGGGTTCCGAGTTCTCATTCGCCTGTGGCCGTATGTGCTAGGTGATGGGCGAAGATGATCTATAGAGGCAGAATTTTCGGTCTCCGGAATTGTGCCGGCGTTCTGGCGTCGGATCGGGTGCTTCTGCGGGCTCTTCCAAACGGCGACCAGGCCAGACTTTCCTCTCGTCGTCGGACCTCTTGAGTCTGACAAGTAAGCCGTGCAGATGGCGAACAGTCGAGTCGGATGTCGCGGTCAAGACGTCGGGTGTTTTCTCGACCTTGCGAGCTGATGCTCGCTTCTCTCCAGGACCACTGGTTTCCGTCCGCCGACGTCTGACTCGCCTTCCACAGCTACTCAAAGGTGTCCACCTATTTGTTTGAAGGGCAGGTTGCGGGTAGCTGCTCACAGTCAGAGCCAATGGTATGGTGTCGTTGATCTTGTGCTCCAAGGCACGTTTTGGTCTGATATGCTGCTCGCGCCTTCAAGCGTGTCCAGAAGACAGTCCATCAGCTAGAGGAACCCGCATCGACGTGGATGAGACGGCATATAGCAGAGCGATTGAGTGGCCAGAGCGAAGCGGATGTTTTCTGTCTATGCGATCAGAAGAGGACTGTGAAGTCAATGGTTGATGTTTACTAACAACATTTGGAAGGGACAGGAAGATATTCTCGCTCTTGTCACCCGCATTCATTCCGTTAGATAGAGAACTACGCAAGTCTTTTGATGTTCCCGTTGTAGAACAGGGTCGGAAGAAGGACATTGATCTCAGAGGACGTTCAAGTTGTACGAGTGGAAGGAGTCACGCCTCATCGATTGGTTGTATACTCTCGGATTAAACTTATCCCGAGTCCGGGATTCAACTTCACGTCGTTCAAGAATCGCTCCAACTTTGCACCAATAGATCACCACCAATCATCAAGCTCACCGACCGCCAGCAGTATACACATTGCCTTCCATCTAAGCGTTTTGATTTCTGCTCCATTTGATCTGGCCACCGGCAATAAGCGATTGGAAGAACGCGAAGAGATCAATATGTCCCACTGAAGACGCCATATCCGCTTCCAAACAGGAGTTCCAAATCTCAGGGCACGGCGACGAAGGTATAAGATGCTATCAGAACGACTTGGTTTTCTCCCTCTTGTCAGCGCCAAACAACGCACCAGACTCAATCGATAAACATCAGCGAACAATGTCCTTATCGTCAAGACGTCTTCTGTTCTCCATCGATATCTCACGCGACGAATCTCCTCACCACCCTCCTCACAACCATGACAACTCTCACTGTGGCCCAATGTGTCGTCTACTGCGGTATTTCCAACGATGCTAACGCCTGCTCCACCAGAAACAACGATTCCGGCTTCACTCAATCAGCCTGCGCCGCTCGCCACTTGCCACTGACAAAACGTAGACGGCGATCTCTGCAACCTCTATGGGGACCGGACGTCTTGTTAAGCGCTCGCTTACAATATGCCTCATGCTGTGCATACCTTTCCGACTCTTCATTCGTGAGGAAAGACGAAGAGACGAAGATCGAGAAATGGTGGGAAGCCTGCTTGCTAAATCGCTAGGAGCGTTCATTACGTCGGTCCACTCTTGAAGAAAAAATACACAAGTGTCTATTAAGTCTACCCATCCATCATCTGCTTCCTTTTTCAATCTCACACTTTCTTCACGGCGGCGTAGACATATTTCGCTCAAGCTCCATCCCTAGCAGTTACATGCCAAAAAAAAAAGCTTTCGCGATCAGGACCAGATAATGACGAAGGGGAAGACGAGACCCATCTCTCGTCTTTCCCTGTCAATCTTCGCGAAATGCGCCCTCTTGCGCAAGTCCTGAAAATTCCCGTGGTAGAATTCGTCAGGACTGCTGAAGTCCGAGGGACTTGCGGAGTTGATCGCAGCTACAGGGTCGATTTCCATCCAGTTTGCTTGGGGTTTGGAGGACTTCCGGTATCATGCCATGCCCTCCAGCCCGTCGTTGAAGAGTCGTGGTTCTGCTAGCGTCGCAACAACTGCCGGGTCCAGCCCCATCGTCGGCTCGGTATCTGCTTCCCTCGATGTGTGCCTCTGGCTCCAAGAGAGGGCATTGCCATGCCAGTTCTTGCAGCCATAGACTGTCGATCGATGGCTCCGAGGGCTGAGCGGGCGCACTAGTGATGCTCTATGCGCGCAAAGGACAAGTCATCTTGAGCCATGAGGGAAGAACGCATGCGAGGGCTGCTAGTACCTGACGAGTCGGTGCTGGCCGACACTTCGCGGTACTTGTCGATGATCCATCCGTCCTTGCTCGACGGCGAGTCTGTCGGTTTGTACATTCGTGGTTTCCTCCACGTACACAGATTCGGGGATCTAAGGTCGGCGCCGAAAAGAGCCACCAGCACAGGATCGCGGCCAACGTGGTCCTACAATACGGTAGCGAGCGTCTGGCACACCAACATCGGGCCCGAACAGCTCTTCTGTACACAGGTTCCAGAGAAAGTCGCGGAATGGCTGATAACAGAAGGAAATTTTACATTCGAGCCAATAGTAATGATATCGACACGCTTCATCAAAAATCAACCAACAATCAAAGAACGCCAAACAATTCGACGAGCGTGCAGTCGTCACACACATAACACCAAATAACACGCACGCAGGTCCGCTCAACCAATTTAAAGAACACGCACGCAGGCCTCCTCAACCAATCTTAGCTCCTTCCAACTCCTCGCCATGCATCGTCATTAAAGCATCTCCATGGATGCTTGTGCTGATTTCCAATAGTCAGGCTCGCCATGAGCTCCAAAATTTGCCACAACGCCATGAAACAGGAGAACTCTAGATGTCACTGTCCTTGCGCGAGTGTGCGATGCCAGCGTCTGTCATGCCACCCTCCGAATGCGTGCTACGCCGCGACAAAGCGGTAAGCACCTCGGCGGCTTGCGTCTCCTCTATCTCGTATCCGCCGCCGGAACGAGCGGGATATGCGTTCAGCTTTCCGCCGAAAAGCGTGCCAATGGACGAGGTACGCTCGCCGAACTGGTTGAAGGCATCGATCATTGAGCTGCACGACATAGGTGGCGGCGGCGGCATCGAACTCTTCGTCGTCACGTTGGTCTCGGCGAAAGGACGAGGACCTAGTCCAGTTCGTGGGCGGGTACCCATCTGAGCGGAGTTGGCCAGGTCACGACAGGCCTGGGCACGCTTAGGGTCCTTGCGGCACATGTCGCAGCTACCAGGGCCGTTTACCGGGGCAGCAGGCTCGGCGTGATTCTTCTCCTCGTGGCTGGCAGCAGCACACAAACAGTTGCTTGGATCGGTGCAGAAGCCACAAGGATCGTCGTTGGGCTGCGTGTAGCTGAAGTCCATGGCGCTATCGTTGCTGGCGGTGTGACGCAAGTTGTGGTTGGAGGATGCGAAGCGGGCGGTGTAATCCGTCTCCAGATCATTATAGTTGGTAGTAGTCGACGGAGAGATGGGCGTATCCTCTGGAGGGGTGTATGGGGATGGCTGCGTGAGCTTGAGTCCGGCTGGCGCCGGGATGAATCGACCGGTGTTCTGGCTCTGCATCTGTTGAAATCGCCGCAATTCCTCGACCTCCTTCTGTAGTGCTCTGATCTGGTTGTCCTTTTCGTTGCATCGACGTTCTGCAGAATTTGCGCGTGCTTGCTCCCTATTCACCTGGTCCACTGTCCTGCGGTGCTGCTGCCGCTCCGACTCGATATTCCGCCGGATGTCGCTGACCGAAGCCTGGTACTCTCGCTTCTTCAGCTCAAGTTCGTGGAGAGTTTCCTGGAGCTTCTGCTGGCGCTTATCGCGAAAGTTGCGCTGAGCGATGCGGTTCTGTAGTCTCCTTCTGTCGGCCGCATCTTCCTGTGGGATGGGCTTCCTGCCCGGGCGCGGGCGTTGGGGGATGTTGACGCTCGAGCTCATCGGACCGCTTTGCTGGACAACCATGTCGCCGTTCTGCTGAGTGCCTGGGCTGCCGACACTACTGAAGCTGCTGCGCGTGGAGGGCCCAGGTGGAATGGGAACGGCATCGCTGCCGCGCGGTGGTGAGTGCTGAAATTGCGCCGGGAAGGCGTTGGGGTGCTGCTGGTCTACGGGAGAGAGCTGGCTAGGCTGGCCTTGCATATGCTGCAAGGCGGCCTGGTGCTGGTATGGGATGTCGCCGTCTGTTGGCTTCTCGTCAGCATTCTGTGTCGCGACAGTCACAGACATTGCGAAACGTGTAGTGGAGGTGGAGGAATCTGATTCGCACGCAAGATGATCTGATTAGATTGAGAGCAGTCCTCCGAGGTGGGGGCGTGGGCGGCCGGCATCGGAGCAAATTGGATCGGATAAGGCGTTGGCCGAGGTTGTGTGGTTGGCATTGCTTGGCAGTCCCGGGCCATACCGGACGTAAAGGGCGTGGGATCAAGTGTTGAAGAAAGTGGTGAGTCTGTGTCCGTACAGATGCCATAGTCGACATGTCCGCAGATGCACCATTCCCACAGGGCATTGCACGTCGGACACGTACCATCGTCTGGCTCGAGAAAGGACATGCTGGATATGTACTCCTCGCAGGGCGGCCGTGGGGCGTAGAAATGATATATCCAATGAATTTGTCTTGGAAGAGGAGAATTTTGTCCGCAGAAGTCGACGCCATGTCAAGGGAAGGCAGGTCAATCGCATTGTTGCCGGGCAACGACGGCATGGTCAGTTGTGAGGCAAGAGCGACCAGAAAGCCCACCATGGCCAGGATCGTGCCTTCCTAGACCAGAGACCAGAAGGATGCAAGAATTATTCACCCCACCCATGCCAAGCCACTCATATGCAAAACCATGATTAGAAGAAAAGAAATCACGGGACGTACCACTATAATGTCGGAACACACTCGCCACCTGCATCTGCGCCTGCATCATGGCGTCGTCCTCCCGCTGCTGGCGCATCTGCTGATGCACATGTGTCGGCATCGAAGCGTGATGGGGTTGCTGCGCAGCCAGGATAGGATAGGGATGCTGCTGTTGTTGCTGTTGCGGCATAGGGACTGCTTCGGACATGTGCTGCTGGGCCATCGCAGGTGCCTCCTGTGGCGTGATGTCGACATCCATCCAGCTCTGGTTCATGGGCTCGACCACGCCATTCATGCCCCACATGTTGGCAAACTCGGGGTCAAAGGGCCCTGGGTCATCGCCCTGAAGCGCAGGATCCCCCATGCCTGTCCAGGTATCGGGAAACTGGTGCATCTGGTCTTCTGCCATGTCGTCGAGTGTCGGAGACAAGCGTTTCTTTTTTCCTGCTTCGCTTTGAATCTGATCGATGACTGGTGACGGTTAGCCCCTTTCGTCGAAATCTTCCTGTCAGGAACGATAGGATACCTTCGTCGATGATGGTGGGCGAGGTGTTGTCAGCACACTCTGCGTGTCTCTATGCAACGGGATGGTCGAAGGTCCTTGAGGCGTGGGCTTGGGTGTCGATGAAATGTCAGCTTATTGTCCTCTAGCCCATTGAAGGGAACAATACCTGTTGGAAGACGACGTGGTAGCGTGCAAGTAATCACGATGAGAGCTCTCTGAAATGGTCGCGATGGTCAGGCTTCAAGATCTGACGATAGATCTGCTCATCAGGTGGGTAAAAAAGAGAAGACAGGTAGCAGAAGGACCAGGGAAGGGCGTGTTCTTTGTACTCTTGGTCTGTTACTCTATTCACTTCCATTCGTCCTCAGCAGAACTCAAAACTCCCCGATCTATCGATATGGGATGTGATGAGAAGCGCCCGCTCATGGCGCTGGTATCAAGGTGCTCCACTCAAATAGTCACATTGCCCTCAACAGGACAGAATTGACGACCTATCTGCAAAAAAGCTGTTGCCTTTAATTGGCATAGCCGACCAGAATTGCATGCTTGAGAACAGCTAGCGTCTGAGGAGTAGTGCCTATGTTAATGGAGTCTTTCGCATTGGTCCATTCAGCGGAAGCCGAGAGTTGCAAACCAGGTACTCGGATCTCATTTTGACGACTTCGGTGCTGCGAGGCAAGTCGTACCGCAGCTTGGCCCACAACAACCCCTTCGGGTCCCGGTGCTGTCCTCACAACTCTCCGCAGAATCCGTCTGGTTCTGCGGAGCCGTAGTATTGATCCGAGAGCCGGACTTCAGTCGAGCAATCATAAAATTCCATTTACAAGGTCGATCGATTGTATATGGCCCTGGAGGTTGCCGCTGTCCGTATTCGTCTTGCCCTCTGTCAAGCTTCCGCCATTTCATCGGGCATCACGATGCGGTATTTTCTTCAATTGCGGCTGTGGCGCCTTCCCTTTTTGTAAATCTTGACGGAATCGGCTCTCTCGAGACATGCGAATCCTACGCCAGCCTGGTCTCCTTCATATCGACATCGACGACCGGCTCTCCTTCACCGTACATCCAGTACTGAACTCCAAGATAGCAATCGCAGGCTGCCTGGAACAGACCGCACAACTTGAACGCCCAGGGCACACCTCCATCCGACAAGAAGAAATACGTCATCTTGAACACATCGCCAATCAACCAATTCACCAGGACACTCAACCGGAAACCCTTGCAAGATCGAATTCGCCGGTTCTCCAGAATCTGAGGGATAGGTAATATTGCCTCAACACTCAACGCAACGTAACCTTGGATAACGACGTAGAGCTCATTGCTTCCAATCAGGACCTGTAATGCCGCCAGCGTGATGGTGTAGTAGGCCAGGAAGTGCCAGTATGGTTTGCGGCTTCTCCACTGCCAGAAATTGTGGGGTCGGCTGACATAGCTGTCGCCTTCGGTGACTCCCGCAAATGGCTTGTTCAGGCTATGTTGAGCTCCGAAGGGTGGTCGATAGATGAGTGCGATGTGGAGCAGCAAAATCTGGACCATCACCATGACGCTTGCCTGGATGAGGAGCGGAAAGTCATATCGGGAGCCGAGCCAGTAGAAGATCCTGCAAACTCGCTGATTAGCGTGATCCAGGGTACTGGTAACGGACATCAGTCATGTGACTTACTTGAGAGTCGAAGCAACCAGCATGATGAGCGGAATGTCCAACGAGAAGCCGGCCGAGGAGCGGTTCTTGTTCATGCTCCATATTTGGTCGCCGTATGAAGTGACTGGTGAGGTGACGATGAAGATGGGCGCGATGTTGTTTATCGCCAATTTGATGAGGTTCATAGCTCTGTATAACTATTAGTCGATTATTGCCATGCGCCTTGTTGTGGGGATTTCTCGCTCTTCTAGATTCGCAGGTATCGAAAAGCCTATCTGGCTCAGCACGAAATGCGCCAGACTTGAACCATCATCGTGAGAGTCGGCCATGATGAGCAAAGAGGCTTAAAAAGCAGGATGGTTCTGGTGATGAGGAAGAATAAGAGATGAAGTCTGAGACTTACAGAGATGGTGGGCACGCGTGGCCGGAAGTCGCGGAAGGAATGCAAAGGTGCAAGTGCAGGTCGTCGCCGTCGGCTCTTACGGAATCATCTTACGGCAGGCGCAGAATGTTGCAGGAGTGACCGAGAACAGAGCGACTGATCGAATCGATTGCTTGATGAGACCGGACACCCGACGTCTTGTGTGAAGCCGAAATGCATGTGAAAGAGGACAAGTAGGAATCGCGACACGAGACGACGTCTGCGAATCCTTGCAAGAGATCGGCAGGATGTGGCGGTGGCCTGAGCTTACAAATCCGCAAAATGGTTTTGCCGGTTTTGCTACCGCACCACCACACTCTCACACACTGTAATCGCAGTGGTTAGGCACTAATGTACTCGCTATCGACTCGCAATCTATCTATTAGGTCCTTTATTGTCTACTTTGTCGTTATGCCGCCTTAGGCCCTCGATTTATAGCCCTATCGGCTCTAGATTAAGCTTTAGATTTATACTAGATATACCTACTAGCGAGTCGTATAGAGCCTATATAATACTAAGGGCATTCGCTACGGTATTAGAACTCTATAGACATACTTATCGTAATAGGGAGTGACTACTCGCTCTCGAATTAACTATAGTAGTAACGTAGTACTAATTAAGCGGATTACCGAGCTATTCTAGCTATATACTATTAGCGATAAGAAGAGCTATACTATACTACGGCTTAATAGCTATAATATCTCTTTAAGGTAGTATTAAGAGCTCCGCTATACTTATAGCCTTAAGCGTCGACTAGAACACGAGGAATTAGAAGTAGCTACTACCTACGTCGATAAGGTGCTTCGAGTAGTACTAATTAATAGGCAAACCTAAGACTTTAGCTATCGTAAGCTCGTACGAGAGTTAAGAACCTACTAGTATATTATAGGTAGGTAGGGAATCGACTCGTAGCCGACTCGTAGCCCTCTTCTTACTATACTAATGCCTACTAGGGACCGTATCTACCGGATTTCACGGCAAATTAACGCTCTACTATATAAGCTTCGCGAACTACGTAATCGCTATCCGAATAGGCTACGGTACGTACGACTAAAAGCTAATAGGCCTAACTACGTCTAGTTAATTAATGCCTTCTACAAAATCGAGCAATTCGGCATTTAGATTTACGCCTATATTAACGTCTACTTACGCCGGATTATCTAGTTCTACGTTAGCCTAATAGTAAAGACAAAGTACTTAGTGTTTTCGTAGTACTATACTATAATTAACTATATCTAGCGAGTCCCTTAGCGAGTCCGCTCTAATTAAGGTGTCGAGACACCTATACTAGTAGACGCCTATCTACGGCTTCGAGAGCTTATCGAGGGCCGTAATATCGACTTTGTTAAGGCCTTCTTATATACTACGAGTAAAGGCAATTAGACTATTAAGTACTAGTAGGGCGAGATAGCTAAATTAGCTATAAATCGCTAGAGAGACCTATTTAACTAGTATATTAACCTACACCTTTTCGAGGCCGCTAAGCTATCTAATCGACTCGCCTTCCTCGTAATCTATACTCTAATTATACGCTATATAGTTAGTTACTTTGTCTTAGAGTAGAATCGGCACCCGGTACGAGTACAAAACCTTAAGAGCTATATTAGTAGTATACCGGATTTGCTCTACGAGTATCTAGAGCTCGAGGACACTACCTAGCGTAGGCATCTAATTAACCCTAAGAGTCTAGCGAGTACTACTCTTAAGTAGTAGATAAACCGGATAGACGGCTATAGTAAGCTCCGCGGGTAATTAAAGAGCTTTCTATATTAGTACTAGGTAAGTAGCTCGAAATTGGACCGTACTCGTAGCCAATTTAGCTGTACTCGTAGTCACTCGCAGCTCTAGCTACCCGCCTATAGAGTTACCCCTCTCTTACTCCTACGCTAACTACGCCTCGCTATATATAGACCTTAGCTTATACCTGCCTCCGACAACTCTATAATAGGTAAACGAACAGCTCGTACTCGCTAGCTACCCGTTAACCTTTAAAGGTAGCGAACCCGGATTCGGTAATAGGCCTAAGAAGCTTTATATACACGCTTATTAGTACCTCCGAGGAGTAGCTAAGTAGTACCTAGATACTAGTAGACGACTCGCTAAGTATATCGCGCCGACTCGCTTAAATAGCCTCGAGCCGTCTAATCGTACGAGAACCGTCTTTACTACTACTAGGGAGCCTCTATAAAGCTTCGTATATACTCGTAGTAGACTCGTAACGTTACATTCCTTAATACTACGTCTTATCTTTCTATATACGTCTATTATAGCTTCTTCTACTAACTTCTAGGAAGACTTCTATATATCTAATAAGGTAGATTATACTCTTAATTATACTAAAGAGTATAGCGATAAGCCCCGCTATAGTAAATGCGGCCTTAGGAACCCGTTCTTTACTACAGTAGACACTAATATAGCGAGTCGCCGCGAGTCGACTGTAGGCCCTTCCTTAACACTAGTACCGGATCCGATCGATTCCCCTACTCTACGGCGGAAGGAGCCCGCGTCTATAAAGGGCTATAGTAGCTTTACTAGACTCGCTAAAAGCTTATTTAGCCGTACTAATGCCGTTTTAGCCGCTAATAAGAAGTAGCATATCCGCCCGCTTAGTAATGTAGGTATCAATCCGTTATCCGGAGAGGCACAAGGTCCTCGTACTAGTAAAGCGAGTCTATATAGGAGCACGCCAATCGCTACGAATCGACTTAAGGCGGGTAGTAGTAGTAGTACCGAGCTACGAGACGACTCGCAGGCCGACTCGTAGTCGTAGAACAAGGGTAGTAGACCGAAGAAAGTACTAAAGGGCCCTAAGCTTCACGTTATAGTGTATATAAGCAAAGTAGTAGTTAATGTAGTTAAGAAGGAAGGCTAGTAGAGGTGGACGGTTAGAGATAATCTAGAGCTAGTCGATTACTAGTCTATCGTAGGCTACTAGAGCGACTTTAAGGCCCTACTACTCGACTCGCCGCGTACTCGTAACTAGCTTTACTACTAGGCTTTATACGCTAGCTATATTAAGGTTAAGAAGGTTACCGGCCTATAGTACTACAAACGTCCGTTTATATATACCCGGTACGACAAAGAGTAGAAGCTCTTAATTATACTAAGCTCGAACAGTAGAGACAAAGACGACCTTAACGAGCAATTACTACTATTTAAGCGTAGGTACTAGGCAAATCCTACGCGAAAGGAGGTAGATATTAGGGTCGCTGTCCTTGTAGCTAAAGATAAGCGGTAGAATAGGCTTCCGAAGGACTACGGCGAGTCTAGCGAGTCTACCGACGACAGCTCCTCTTTAGATCCGGATCTAATAAAGAGCCTTAATAGGCGCTATCGTAGTAGGCGTCTAGGTTAGAGGCCTAGTACTAAAGCTAAAAGAAAGATAGCTAAGGAGGCAGTAGCGAGTGTAGTAGCGAGTATAGTAGCGAGTACTAGCGAATCTAAAGTAGTGCCTTCTACTAGCCCTAATAAACTAGCTAAATTCCGCTAGCCTACGAGTCCCTCTACGAGTGCCTAATCTACCGAGAAAGAGGCCTCTACTAGTCCGCTAGTTAGTTACAAACGTTAAGCGAGTCGCGAATTACCCTATCGATCTACTCCTTCGTCTATATCCGGTACCTAGGGATTAAGCGCCTATAACCCTATCGATATTATTAACCTTACTAATAATAACGACGACGACGAGCCTACGTACGTACGAGTGCCTAAAAGCAAGCTAGTAGTAAAGTAGGAGGCACGTATAGTAATAAAGAAGGAGCCTATAGATTTAAGTACTATTAAAGAAGGAATAGAGATTACTCCTACGGATTTAGTAGAGCGAGTCGCTAGCGAGTCGCTAGTAGCGACGGAGATTTAGGGCGATAGGTAGGTTACTAGCTTACCTAAGGATACTAAGGCTACGAGTGTACTAGCGGAGCCTACGAGTACGCCCCCGAGCGGACTAGCGAGTACTACGAGTGTACTAGCGGAGGCAATAAGGAATAAGAAGCTAAGGAAGGAGTATATAAGGATTCCGGAGTTTTAAAGGGTTATAAGGGCGTTAAAGAAGCTATAGCGAGTCGGTAGCGAGTTAGTAGCGAGGCTTTAAAAGGATAGAAGGGCGTATAGGGTTAATAGTATAAATATAATAACGATTAAAGGCTTAGAGATCTCTAATATTAACATTCTCCCGACTCGTAGGCTAAAATTAGGTAGACTCGCGGGCGATTTAGGGATTCTACGATCTCTAAGATTCGTAGTATTATAATTTGCCCGACTCGTAGGCCTAAAATTACTAGATTCGTAGGCGATTTAATCGCTCTAAGATTCTATATATCCTAAGCTACCCGACTCGTACGGAATCGTAGGCTAAAATTAGCTATACTCGCTATAACTCGTAGGCTAGAATTAATCTATACTATCTACTAAGTATATTTGCCCTTATATTTAGCTACGAACTGCTCGCTACCCGGTAGCTACGTAATAAAGTCTATTATATAGTAGAGCTTAGCCTCTAGATTATTAATACGCTTATAGGCAAACCCTAAACCCTCCTTAAGCCTAGTAATCTTGGTTTAAAGACTCGTAGGCTTCTACGAGTCGCCTATCTCAGCCCTAGAGTTACCTATAGTAGCCCTAGAATTACCTATAGTAGCCTACGAGTCCGGCTTAGGCTTTAGCGAGTTATCCTACTTATCCTTCTACTTCTCGTACTTCTTCTAGAGCTTACTATTACAACCTAGGCGACCGTAGCGCTTATAGAACGCGTATTAAGTATATTCCTTACCTTTATAGATAATATAATCTAGACCTCTCGTAGCGTACTACTTATAGCCGCTAGGCTTAGAAGATAGTATACCTACGAGTCGATTAGATTTTAGTAGCGAGTCTATACAAATTAGAAAAAGCATACCTAGATCCGTCTCTATT